AGGCCCAGGAGGACTGTGAGATCGGTATAAAGCATTTCTCAAACTTTGTGACCCTGAGCCCTTTATTTAGGAAGCCCCTCTTGGGGCGCTACGATTGGAAAATGTTGCTTTAACCCAACTGCAAACAAAAAGCCCAAAGCCAAACTGTAAATTCCATCGAGTGGGGGACTTTTGTCTGATTCATTCCCTCTTGTATTCTCAGCATATGGTAACCGCTCAGTCAATATTGGTTGAATAAACAAATGAGCACGTGCACAGATAAACAAATCAGGTCTAGTCCAGCAAGACTGGATGCCTAATCTACGATGCAGGGAGGTAAGGGGACTTTGTATGGCTTCCTCTTAAGGTGCCTAGGACAAACTGTTGAATAACTCACTTGCCTAACACAGCACCTGACTCCCAGACCCTGACATGCATCCTTGAGTGGGAGGAAAGCATAGCTCATCTGGGCGAGAGTACAGGACCCTCAGTCATGATCTAAGTAGCTCTGAAGGCAGATCCATGTGCCAGCAACAGGGATTGGAGGCCAGGGCCCTAGAAAGGCACTGTGACAGTACAAGTGCACTCACGAAGTTCACAGGTAACTTTTTATACCAGCTACATGTAGGCTGGCGAAGGCAGGTGCCCACCCTGGGAAGGTTGAAGGGCAGCCTTCTTGGGCACTTCTCAGGCTAACTGAGGGAGACCTCAAATCCAACCCTGGGAGCTGTACTCCGAATGGCCCCATGGGGTAAGCCTCAGCACGTAAGATGCTGAGTGACCTGAACCTCTGCCAGGCAGGGCAGGTCTTCTAGATCTCTGGCGGATGAGCATGCCTGCGTGCCCACTGCCACCCTGACACCGATGTCCAGTCCTTCCTCCTTGTCTTCCACCCAGCACTCAGCTAGGCCAGCCTGAAATGTTCAAGACCAACCTTTGCTACAGAGGGGCCTGAATCATACAGAGTTTACAGGTTGAGCTGCTATGGGGCCGTGGGCTTGGGTGTATGTGTGGGGGGAAGAGGTACAGGGAGCTCTCCATACAGACTTGTCCTGAGACCCTCACCCAGTATGCCCAGCACCTAGAACAGCCAAGTACAATGAGTTTTCGAGACAGAGACCGCAAAGCCTGGCCCAGGAGCTTGGGTGATGTTTTCCAAATATTACCCCTGGGTAATATTTCCTTTGAGAGTGCCCCCAGCGCAGCCCCCAGAGAGTCCCGGGTCGCCACAGTGCAGGTCCTGCCAGCAGTTTAGGGAACACGAACCCCCTAAACCGGTCCCCGTGTTGGAGGTTTAAGAAGCTGCCCCAGGCAAAGAAGAGAGGAAACAATGAGCTTTATAAAGAACCATATTTATTTTCATTTACAGCATCAAATACCATAAATAAAGCTAGACATTGTTTGCCGTGTGCAAAATACAGGGTTCTGTGTGGCACTGTAAATGATTACCCAAGGTCATGGACATGCCTTGTGATGAGATGGGGAGGCTAGCTAAGCAGAGGCAGAGGGGAGAGGGCACTCTTTGGTTGACATTCTAGAAAGGGAGGGAGACTCTGAAAGAGAAGACAGGACAAGAGCAACGACTTGGTACTGGCCAGGCTCTGCACACACACGCGGCGAGCATGCAGCACGCAGGGCTGGACAGGCCAGGAGGCTGTGATAGCTCTGGGCACGTGCGAGACAGACACCGCGGGGCCTGGCCTGCAAAGCTCCAGGGTTACTTGGTGTGTTGCTTCTCGTCAAAGACGGTGCTGCTCCAGTGAGGGAGTCAGCAGGAAAGTATGCTTTAAACAGAGCCACGGGGGTCTTAAAACTGGCGGCGGCAGGCCTGGGGTTGGGCTGAGTCATCTCCCAAGGCCATTCTTGCCTGATGGTGTCTGCTCTTGGGGGAGGGTCCCGGGGAGTTACGTGCCAAGGCAGACAGGAAGCACCACAGCAAAACCCTGGGCTCTAGGGCCGGCTGCAAGAAAGGAGTTGCTAGAATCACCGTGATTCCATCCTGAGAACACGGAATGTGGGTCAAATCCCTCCTATGGCTCTGACGTGTATTTATCTCAGAGGCAGAGGGAGAAGAGGCAGGTACGCACGAGCTTTTTCGGCAGCCGCTAGACCAAAGCATCTTTTCCAAGGAGAAGCCCTCCCTATGCGGTTCTGTCTCACAATCAGGGTTAACCCTCCCAACAAGGTACGAGGCTGTGCAGGCACAGGTGGGGAAACAGGCACGGAGACTGGCCCAGAGGAGAGGCAGGGCATGCACTTGGCGAGGACCGGGCTGCTGGCTGCAGGGCAGTGGAACCAGGATACGGGCATTTGGGCTGGACACTACCCCACGCTGTTACCCAACCATGCCACTGAATGAGTCCGTTAGTATGCAAGACACTCACAGTTAGTGCAACCAGTACCACCAGCGGTGGGGGAGAACAGGTGCAGGCAGCGGGTTAGGGGTTAGTACCACTCTCTGAAAATCGGCAAGAAAACCAGTCACCTCAGAGCAGAAGTGGGTCAGCCAAGAAGTGGGTGGAGCACTGGGAGGCTGAAACGAACTGACGGCCACAGTGTAAGGTTGGAAGGAGAGAGAAAGACAGAAAAGAGAATTCAGTGCAGGCGAGAAGGAAGAAAACAGGTGACAATCCAAGAAGGCAGTGCAAGTGCAAATAAGGCAACTGTTAAAACAGAGGACACGTCCCCCAGAGAAGTCACATTTCCCACGGCAGCCCAGCTACTGATCGACGTGAGGCTGGCATGTCGCCAACCCTCCTCCGCGGGAGCCGGAGATGCCTTCAGAACACCCGGCCCTCCTTAGCCCCTCCAGCCCCGTTTTATTCTAGGGTCTCATGTGCATTCTCCAACACATGGTGGAGGCTTCGAGGGTCTCCCCTCAGGACCCATCCCGTGTTGGGTCTGCCCACCAGGGAGGTTCCAGTTCCCAGAACACACAGACGTCTCAGTCTTGTGACCGGCACACCCTGTCTGCCAGAGTAATGCAAACCAGTCTCCCTGGGGCCTATGAATACATTCTTAGAGATTCCACTTAGGCTGCATGGAACATTCCAGAAAACATCTTAGTCCACCCTGAGTGGATGATAGTCTCAAACACATGGCTGTTCATGTCATGACCTCAAAAATGTACTTTCTTATCATGAAACATAAAAGGTATCAAGGGCTCCTCCTGACACGCTGGACATTAAAATCCTAGCAAAAATCCGGGACAACACAGGGCAAGTCATTGGACTGAGTGCAGTTCCAACAAGAACAGAGGCTCTGGTTCCCACGGACTCGGCCAAGGCCATGCCCATTTTTCCCGAGGACTTGCGGGATGTGTGTGTGGACACACAGCCTCCCCAGCCCTTTCTCCCCCGGAGCTCTGGCTCTTCATGCACGCAGGGCTTGCCCGCCTTGTTAATCTCGAGGAATCTCTATGATAACAACCACATGGTGCTATCTTGGGCCCTGCAAATCTGGACATGCAGAGCCCCCTAGGAGGCCTTCCTCTACCAGCCTCTCGATTGCTCAACGGACCCTGCAGCTGTGCACAACCTGGCAGAGTGGAGTGGGGAGAGCTGAGGACTCGTGCAGATGCCCATAGCAAAGACTGCTGGTGGGACCAGGGCTCAGTTTTGCCCTTACTAGCGCATTTGCTCTTGAATCAGCCATCCAACAGCTTGTATGCCCAGCCATACCGGCCTCTCATGGTACGGCAGAGCCTCTCTCCGGAGGTCACTCTCGTTCCTTTGCCCAGGCCGTGTGAAAATGGCCTCTGCCTGCTTTGATCAAGTATGCACGGCAGCTGAGCAGACCACACTTGCAAGCTATGCTGCCTCGCAGCAGCCTGGGGTGCGAGCCACTCCCGCAGGCTCAGAGGGCACCATGGGAGAGGGCAGCATCTTCCACTCCACTCAGCCTGGCCGTGACGGACCCTGAATGGCCTTGGTTCAGCCTGCAGCTGGGCTGCAGGACCAGGCGGGGAGCCCCAGGGTTAAAATGCCCCCAGGGAGTGCTCCATGGTTGGGGCTCAGGGGCTCTCAGCGCAGTGCCCACTGTGGGGAAGGGAAAAGGCGTGCCTGTAGCAGTGTGGTTGAATCCCAAGGTTTTCCCATAGCTTGGAGGGAAAAACCTCTGAGCAACTATTTGACTCCAAAGGAGGACAGACAAGGGACAACAACACCCTGCCGTGTGCTTGTGTAGGTTTAATTCTGTTCTGCCTTGTGTTCCTTTCTTGCAGAAGGATACCGCTTTCACATTGCAAACAACTGGCTCCTATAGTCAGGTGGCACCCAGGCACGTAGACGGAAAGGCACCGTTCAGGAGGTGGCACACGACTGTGTCTGTCGAAGCCCAGATCGATCGCTTTGCAGGCAGTGGCCACTCGAACACACTGCACTGCTGAAGCGACTTGAAAACCGGTAATGAACTTCAAACCCATGTCTAGCCAAATTGACACTCATAGAGGAAAAAAAAAAAAGCCCTCTTGGCTTATTAAAAGTTAAAAATTGAAATGTAAACCCAGAAATATGGCTCGCTTTGGTACAAAAATGTAAAAAGCTATAAAAAACATCCTTCATGTCGTCCCTGGCCCAGCACCGAGAGCAGGTGTTCCCCCTAACGAGGCCAGGCGGAGATGGCCAGTGTGAAATTCTTTGGCTTTGAGCTAAACGGGTGAAGGACCAACACAGCCACAGCACGGGGCACCCATGCTGCCGTCTACACTCTGGGCAGCCGGGGGGGTCAATGGAGCTTGGCCGGGATGCACCTGAGCACCCAGCTGCGGAGGCTCTCCAGGGACTCCTCGGACTCCCTGTACATGGCGGCCAGCACCTCGGAGAACGCCCAGAGGAGCGGCAGCCCCAGGCTCAGGAGCTCGTACGTGTAGCAGTAGTTGTGAGCATTGTCCCTGACATGGAGGCCGACGGCACGCAGGAGTCCCCGAATCCAGTTAAGCAGGCCCCGGGGGATGTCGAGCAGGGCCCCTGGCAGCCTGAGGGGCCAGGCCAGCGCCCTCCTAAAGAAGGAGGTGGAGATACCTGGGGGGCTGCCTTCTGGAGTGCCGATGGCGGCCGCTGCGCAAGAACTTTCGGTGGGCGTGTCTCGCTGAGGGGTGTCCTGCTCTTGCCACGTGCCCTCCTCCTGAGAGAGAGAGAGAGAGAGAGGTCACAGGGAGGGCTTTTAGTCCTCAAGCCTTACGCAGGAGCCCCTGCAACAAAGCAGACTAGGGAGACGACACTCAGGGAGCCGGGCTGACTGTGGCTTCTGCCAGCAGCCCCTGCACCCTGAAAAATCTCAGCTCCAGTTCACTTCCAAAGGTGGTGCCCAATCCGGGCACAGCTCTTCTGGGTGGGGGGAGGGGAGCATGCAAACAAACCGAGCACAGGGGTTCCTGAGTTTCCAGATACCATGCACTTGACCATTGGCCAGCCATCCTACTTCTAACGCTAGATACCAAGTAGTGCTTTGAGCTACAGGTAAAGATGCGGGTACAAGGATGTTCACTGCAAAAACACCTGTCAGACAAAGTCTCACACAACACAAAGGTCCAAAGTGTGGGACCAGGGACATCAATCCCTAGGATCTTTCCTACGCACTAAAGAAACATCCATCCAAAGAACGTTTAATGCCGTAGAAACCCGCTCTTCACAGCCCATTAGTGGGCAGAGGAAGATACAAAGCTGTCGTGATAAGGGTTCCAACGAGGTTCAGATATGTTCACCTAGGGACCAGTCTGGGAGGAGACGGTACAAAAATTTCACATGGTTTCCTCAAGGCTAAAGTGATGACAGGTGACGTGACTCTCCTTCTTTATACCCTTTTATTAATTTCCCTGTTTCTCTACATTGAGCCTATGTTACTCACAGGATCAGGAACACGGTTTAGATTGTGGGTCTTTGCTGCTGTTAAGAAATTCAAATCGGGCAGAAGGTATTTGCTAAGAGCCGCCAGAGGGGGCGCTATCACAGACTGCCTATAAATGCAGCGCACAGATGGCTCTACTGTCATGCAAGAGCCTGGGGAAATGGCTTGGGAAGGGCAAAGGTTGGCCCCATACCGGGCATTCCTGCAAGCACTGGCCTGTGGCCGGTGAGCCTCCGGCATGCAGGGACCCTGAGGTTTTTCTGTGACTGGGCAGGTCGTCCCATCCCTGGCACAAGGGCGAGCTCTTCTCAGCTTTTTTAGACGATGCCTGCTAGCCACGGACCCCAGAGGCCAGCTAAAACACAGAGGCCAAGGGACCTTCCCCCCCAGGGAGCAGCTGCTCAATGGCTCCTCTGGGAGTAGTGTCAGCACCCCCAGGGCCAGGAGAGCTGGCCTGGCTTCAAGGAACCCTGGCAAACCCTTCTTCTATCAAGGGCTCCTCTGCATGTGACCAGCACTTTTGAAACACCACATACCTCCCTCTGTTGCTTCAGCTCTGCCCGTCTCTTCCGTTGCTTGCTGTTGGTTTTACAGTGAATGAAGTGGGGCTTGCAGTAAAACTTGCCTGCAAAAAGAAACACACATGCACACCAAGTTTTCCTCCGGTCGACCAGAGGCCAACGATGGAAATAAGCCCACTTCTGATGCCTCAAGCCAGGGAAATGCCTTCTGCCACGTGCCTTGAAGAAGGAGCCTGAGGGGCCGGCACTGTGGCATAGCGGATAAAGCCACTGCCTGCAGTGCCGGCATCCCATACGGGCACCAGTTCAAGACCTGGCTGCTCCATTTCTGATCCAGCTCTCTGCTATGGCCTGGGAAAGCAGTAGAGGATGGCCCAAGTCCTTGGGCCCCTGCACCCACGTGGGAGACCCGGAAGAAGCTCCAGCTCCTGGCTTCAGATTGGTGCAGCTCTGGCCATCGCGGCCAACTGGGGCGTGAATCAGCGGATGGAAGCCCTCTTTCTGTCTCTCTTTCTCTCTGTGTAACTCTGCTTTTCAAATAAATACATAAGTCTTTAAAAAAAAAAAAAAAAGGAGCCTGAGATAAGGCCAGCTGGATCCTTTGCTGCCCCGGCTGGGGCTCCCAAGGCCCGGCCCACAATCCTCAGAAAATCCTCAAGGCAACGGAAGCCTGGATTCTTTGCCAGACCAGCTGCTGGGTGGCACAACAGACAGCGCTGAGTATCAGTGCCCTCCATCTTTCTCCCCGAGGGCAGATGGCGGCCGTGACGGGGAGGAGGAGACCCGGGCGGGGCACACACTGAGGCAGTGACCACAGTGTAGGGCCACAGGGCACCTCGCAGGTAAGCCCTCCCGGCTCACTGCTGCTGGATGGAAACCACCCAGGCCTTGCTGCTGTGCACCAGGCAGGACTCCACACGCTTCCCAGGAATTCGCTCAGCGACCGTCACGGTCCCCTCCTGAGCCGTGCACTGCTGTCAACTCCACTTTACAGATGAGGAAACTGAGGACCCAAGAGGCCAGCCATAGGTCTGTGGTTATGTGGCGAGGAAGTGCCACAGCCCGGATTTGAACCCAGGCAGTTTAGGTTGAGGGCGGGCAACTGCACGCATGATGCTAGCCTGCCACTCGATACGACGCTGTTGAGAATGACAAGCGCTGAACGTTAGAAAATGATCACTCACGTTAGCCAGCGTGAGTCCTTCACTGGCAGGCAACCCATCAGAGGGGGTATGATTATTACAGTTATTTTTATAATATATAATTGAAAATAGCATTAACATGCCATCATTTATTAAACCTCTACAGCGGGCCAGGTGCTGCGCTGAGCACGTCACATAGGTTATCAGGTTTGAGTTTCTCAGCTACACAGGGACCATGGAGGGTGGTGAGGCTAACAGAAAAATGAGGTATACGAAGCCTCAGCACACATTAGATGCCCCCTAGTGCCTTGTATACTGCAGGTGCCAATGGCTTCCCTTCCTTTAAGCCCCGGGCGGCCTTTCTCTCTAGTAGGGGCTCCCAGTTTCCTTAAACAGCTTGCTTGATGATATCACACTCCCTGCTAAGGAAGAGTGGGGTGGCCCAGAGGCTGCAGAAGGGTGGGAAGCCCAGGCCAAGGCCATGAGCGAGTGCTGTCCAGGCCCACTGGGATTACCTTCATCACAGTCGAAGGCGTAAGTGGCCACACGCAAGGTGGTGTCGCAGATGCTGCAGCGGAAGCACTCGCGGTGGAAAAAGTGGCCCTCGGCACTCAGCCGCTCCATCACGTACACGCGCTTCTTACAGAAGTAGCAGGTGTCGCTGCCGCCCACGCTCAGGGGAAACGCCTTCCTCATAGACTCCTGGGGGTCGGGAGGGAAGAGCAGAGTTAGGGCGGACACGGGCTCAAGCGCCAGGCTCAGGCTGTAGGACACTTCAAACAGAACCACAGGGAACTTGTGGGCTGTTTACTGCTTGTGTCTGTACAGCCAAAAGTGAGGGGTGTGAGATGCACGCCCAACACAGAGCCCACTCTGCGGGGGGCCCCCATCCCTCCACAGGCTGGCTGCTCTGATTTCAGGGTGGGAGTGAGGCTGCCTGGGATGATGGAGTGGGCATTGCTCACAGACACGCCTGTCCAGGGACGCCGTCTTGGGGATCCGTGCTTGGGGCCAGAGTCCGCTGCTCTGAGCCAGGTCACTGACCCGGCTGCACTGGGGATGTGTGATGCATCCTTGCAGGGAATTTAGTGAGGCAAAGGAAGTGCATGGCGCCGGCTGTGCTCCCGAACAGGGACACGGACAGGCTGCATCTCCTAGTCACTAGGCAGGATAGGGAGGGCCAGGGCAGGGATAAACCTTGGCGATTCCAGAGGAAGGAGCCAGGAGGAAGCCAACAGAACAGTGAGCTGCTGTCACTGGCGATGGGGCGCTGAAGGGAGACATCAAAGGAGAGGGATGTGGCTGCACTGCTTGTCTCTCAATCCCTGGACACTGGGCCCCGGCAGCACAGGACGTCCGGCTGCGCCAACTGCCAGACTGAGGCCAGAGAGAGCAGGGGCGATGCTGTCCTGGAAATAACTCACGAAGGCTCTGAAATGCAGCCTCCCTCCAACCTCTGCCATGGTCCAGCCCGTGCCTGTCCTCAGCGCCCCCTGGCTCCCCAGCAGAGGAGCCTTCTGGGGGCCTGGCCATCCTCCGTGGCCCGCGAGCCCATCCCGACAGGCCAGAGCCAGTGCCTGCAGGCGGTGGCGGAGGGGGACGCAGCCTTACCAGGTCTGGAGAGCTGGCCTGCGCCTTGGGTCTGTGATCGTTCAAGTACAGATTGACCAGGACTTCGGCGGCAGCCCCTATTCCGCTGGACACTTTCCCTACCGTCAGCTAAGCAAGAGCGGAGGCAGAGGGGACAGAGACAAAGGGAGAGGCCCGTTAGCACCCAGAGAGAAACCGCCAACAGGCTGGACGTGGGACAGGGCTCCACGTCCCCATGCACACAGCACCCGACAGCCCTGGAGAGGCGAGACCAGCCAGGGGGAGCTCAGCACAGGCATTCTGGACATGGGGAAAAGGAGAGAAATAAAATTCCATGGCCAAACGCTGCACCCAGGAGATCCCTGGAGCTGCCAGAACCATAGAGACCGGGAGAGCAGTGAGGGGCAGGGGCTGGGGCAGGTACAGAGTTTCAGCATCACAGGATGAGAAGGTTCTAGAGATGGATGGCTGCATACCTTATAAACGTATTTACTTCCTCTATACTGTATTCTCAAGAATGGCCATGACGGTGAATTTTGTGCTTATGTGTATTTTAATCCAATTAAAAAAAAAAAACTGGGATATGGAGAATATAAAAAGAAACCCTCCCAGGCCTTGGGTAAATCAGGCAATGGGTCTGGAACCACATCCACATGAGGCCTTTGGGAATTTATTGAGCTTATTATGGCACAGATAGGGTAAATGGATCTCCAAGAGGGGCAAGGCTCTATCTGAAGCCACTTAGCAAACACATGGGCGACTCAGGACCACACTCTGGTCTCCCAACTCCCAGCCCAGGGGCCGTCACACCAGGCTCTCTCATCAGAGGCTGGGAAAACCAACACTGCTCAGGCTCAGTGACTCCCAGCATTGCACCTGTGTCTCCATAGCCTCCAGAAGTCTGTGAGACAGAGAAGTTAAGCAAGGCAAAGAAAACAGTGAGGAACCCAGTCCTCCCAGGAAGACAGCTAAACCACAGTCACCTCCTCCAGGAAGCCCTCCTGTCTAGACAGCTATGGGTCACTGCCTAGTGGGCAGTGGGCCCTGCACAGACCCACAAAGGACCTCTCAGATCTGGCACAAAGTTTTGAACTTCTGCGGTAAAATGGATAGTTGTATGTGCTTCATGGATTCGTGGGAAGGATTGAGTGAGGGAAGAGATGTCTCACTGCCTGGTGCTTAGCAGCAGGGCTGGGCCAGGATGACCTGAAGGGTCATGAGGTCTGCGGCTGGCTTGAGTCCCTCCGGCAGGACCACAGATCTGGGAGTGTGTGGCCGACGGGGTGCCCTGAGCAAGTGCACGGAGCAGGCGGGGAGCTTGCAGCAGGTTGCAGATTGGGTGCTGGGCAAGGCCATCTTAGAGTGGGGGAGGCCACAGCGCGGTATAAATCAGCAGGAAGTTTGGGAAGGGCAGAGTGAGTGGAGTGCCCACAGCCTGCACGGTCCCCTCCTGCTGGTGGCAGAGCCGTCCTCGGGGCCTACGGCTAACTCAGTGGACTCCAGCCAAACTGCAGTGAATAGGGATGGACAGGGTCAGGATGGTGAGAGTGACCGTGTCCAAGGGACCCCGGCTCTGTTCTCATTAAGGAAACCCCAAGGCCCACGCCAACTTTGGAGTAGGTGTCCCAGACCATGTATTCGGCTCTTGGGGACTGTAGACAATGTGGCCTGCTGAGGGGTGGGGAGGTGTCTGATCTTTCAGATTTGGGCAGATGGGGTCCCCTCAGATGCTTCAAGACCTGTCTTTTGTGAGGAGCAGCAGCTGCCAGGCCAGGCACCCCCTCCCACCCTGCCCCACACGGCCCAGCCTGAGAGCCTGGGATACCACTTCTGAGCACACTCTTTGCCATTGGCACCTGCTTCCCAGGCGGGTTCAAGTGCACTGGTGCAGGACAATCAGCCACTGTTTGTCAGACCTCCTGTCCCCCCTACTGGGGACATGGCCCCTCAGACAGAGGCTATGGAATCCAAAGTACTTCCTGGGTTCCTCCAAAGGAATGAGGGGGAGCGCAGGTCTACCCTTGGTACTGCCTGCCCAAGCCCCTGGTGGGCCCAGTGTGTGAGCTGGCTCCCCAGCACTCTCCCAGAAAGGGACCCTGGTGATGCTGTGAGACTCAGCCCAGCTACTGCTTCCCCAACTTAGCAGAGAGTGAGACTACACTTTCCGGGTCTTTAAATACAAGTCTTAATGAGGTCTTATTAATCACTTAGCTAATAAGCACTTTGTGCCACCGAGCAATGCTGACTTGGGAACAATTGCGGTAGCGAGCAGAGGGCTGGGAAGTGGCTGGGTGCTGTCGCCAAAACCTGCATATGTCATTGCAGCCTGCTCAGGGTTCTACCAGCACAGGGCACTGGGCTGGGGCCCGGAACAAGACCACACCTGGTCGGTCCTTCCTTTCATTAAGGGTCATCCGAGGCCGGGGTGAAGATGAGCCTTGCCTGGGGACGGAGCTTTGTCTACTACTTCCCGACTCTGGGTCAGCCATGTTGGCTTCCAGGTGTGAAGATCCGGCCACCTGGCTTCTGCTGGCTCTGGACTCGGGAAGCCATCTGTGGACCATGACCAGCTTTTGTTTGTTCTTTTAAAATCTCTGATCCATGGTGGCTTGGTACTTTCAGATACTAGAAATTGGATTATACACTTGAATGTGAGGCAATGTCAGATTGCCCTCTATGTCTCTTTCCTCTTCCTGTCTTTATTCAAGAGGCAGAGAGACAGCGCAAGAGTGAGTGAGAGAGACACAGATCTCCATCCACTGGCTCACCCTCCAAAGGCCTGCAACAGCGGGGACTGAGTTGGGTCAAAGCCAGGAGCTAGAACTCCATCCAGGTCTCCCACGGGTATGCATTGACAGGAAGCTGGGATTGGAAGTGGAGCCAGGGTTTGAACCTACACTCTCTGATGTGAGAGGCAGGTGTCCCAAGAAGTGTCTCAACCACTAAGCCAAATGCCTGCCCTTCTATATACCTTTAATGCTGTACTCTCATTGTATTCACTGGATCACAGGCCAGTACCTGTGTGTGAGGTACCCTGGGAGGAGCCCTGGGGCAAGCAACTGGGGAGCTACCAGGTTGTCAGGATCCGGAGCAGTAATGAAAAGCTTAACTCATGGAGAGACTTCCAGAGAACTCACCCTAGCACTGACCTAGAATAAGAGCCAGAGGTTCTCACCAGTGTGTCTTGAGGAGGGCTGGGCAGAGGGAGAGCTAGGATTTGGCTGGCAACAGTTAATCTGGAGTCCACTTTGAGTGATCCAATAACAAAGGCCCAGTCATTTTTTTTTTAAAGAATTAATTTTGGGAGCACTTTGGCAACCCTTTATGTAGTTTTCAAAAGTCTCTTAATGTTCAAGGATATATTTTTCACCACCTCCTCTATGTTGAACTCGAATTATTTTTTTGGCTCATTAGAACAAGCTAGATGGTTGGACACTCTAAGTGGGCCATCACCCCGTGTTACATCAGGCTAGCCTCCCACGCACCGCCCTCCTCCTCCTCTTAGCCTCAGCCTCCTCATCTATAAAATGAGGAGACACCAAGCTTGCTGAGCTATAGGAAAGAATCATAAAAAATCTAGGCCACGCCCCAAATGGTGCTGGGTACCAGAAGGCACTGGGCCCACAGTGACCGAGTCCGAAGCACGGCCACGTGTGCAGCTCTGCATTTCCATGTTCTAGAACTTCTTTCTCTGTTCCCTTAGATGACTTTCACCCTCCATGACCATTCATCCTTCTCTCCCCCAGCTGACCTCGATTCAAACATGATGACCCCACTGTGGTCATGCCAACACCACAGGCGTAGGGACCTCCCCAGAGAGGCCCTGCTCAGCCAGTCCTGTGCCCCTCAGCACCACACACAGGGCTCTCTCCTGGATGCCAGCCAGTCTCACACTGCCCTGGGCTGCCCGTCTGCCTCCAGTGTTCACCCCCACGGCAGGAGCCCTGTCTCCTTCTCTGTGTTCCGGGCACAGGGCAAGTTCTCTGAATGAAGGAGGAAGCCGGCCCCTGGGCCTTTGTTTCCAGACAATGCTAACTTCCCCCTGGGGCCTGGACCCCAGCCAGGGATAACAGGTGTCCGGGCTGCACCTGTCCACAGACTGGAGCTGCTGTGACTATATGGCTTGCTCTGAGCACCAACCAAGCCCACACAGGCCAGGCAGGGTGAGGGTGAAGGGGGTGAAGCCAGGGTCTCAGGGCTGAGGCCGCCTGGGAAGGGGAACTTCCACGTGTCCCTGGGCCCAGCTGAGCAAGGACGTCTTCAGGGAGGAGTCCCTGGGTGAGAAAAGAGCAGAGGACAGGGACTCGATGCCTCAGACATGTGCCCAGGGTGAGGGAAGGGGAGGAAATGAAACTGCTTTCCTGGAAGGGGTCTGGAAATCTCACGCTCAGAGCTGAGACAGGCCTTTGGGGCTGTGAGCCCCTGGTGAGCCTGGCTCTGCCCCCTGCAGTCCCCTAGCTGCAGGCACCAGGGTATGGACCTATGCACATTAACCCTCGCAGCCCCGCACGGTGGCTCTGCCGAGCCCCTGGGCAGGTGAGGCAGCCGTGGTGTAGGCAGGCTCTCACTCACCTGAGCTGGCACTGTTCTTAAGCGCCCGGGATAGACAAGGCCACTTGAAGGTGCTGACATTCCCTTTAGAAAGAGGAATCAACATGCGTTTCAGAATTCCCTCCCGCTGTGCATGAGCACCAGCCTGGATGCTTCAGTCGCTGCGGCATTCCGGCACCTGGCACCCTCAGCATTCCAGCTGCCGCCATCTCCATCTTATGGGTTAGAAAACGAAGGCGCAGAGCAGTCCGCTGCCTTGTGCAAGGTCACACAGTGAGGGACAGGTGTGCAAGTCGGACTGCAAGCTTAGATCCTTCCCCGTGTAGCGCTGTGCTTCCCTGTCACCTACCGGCACCTGGCAAATTAAAACCCCCAGGCTGGATGCACACTGGAGACCTGGAAGATGCTGCCTAGCTCTTGCCCTGTGACGGAGGGAGGGGCCAGGAGGCTGGAGGCGGCCCGGGGTCCATCCTGCAGATTCACCTTTGCACCCAGTGAAACAAGGGCAGGATGCCCAGCCAGAAGGGCCCAGCATTCCTGCTTCCCTCTCCTATGCAAATGTCTAGAGGAAACCCTGCAGATCCGGTTTTAAAACAAACACTCCAAGGGTAGACAAAGCTCCTATGGCGATGCTCATTGCTCTTCTGACCCAGGAAGACTAAGCTGGGGTTCCCAGCCCAGTGAAACGGTGCCCTGGCTCAGCTGTGCAAGTTCAGTCGCCATCTTGTCCTTGCCGGAGCTTGCCAGTCTCAGCAAATAGCCAGCGGTGCTCATCTAAATCCACCGTGGCCTCCCTTCTTGAAGAATGCAATTAATGAATGGATGGTTGACGGGGAGCTGGTGCCACCAGAGGAGGGCTGGTCTGTGGGGCTGGGAGAGAAAAAATGGTGCTGGCGACATAACACTGGGCGTGGTGCCCATAGGCCATGGTCATGAGCGACAGACTCTGGCCAGGATCTGGGCTCTAAATGAGGAAGCGTGAAGACCGCCTGTGACTGTCCAGGCCAAACAAAACCGACGGCTCACTCGGAATTAAAGCTGCCGTCGATGCGAGAGCACGGGCAAGTGTAGTCTGAAGGTAGAGCCCTGGCTACAGCCCTTAAGTTGGTGACAAGTTTTCACACCTGGGAGTGACCATTCCTGGGCCCTCTGAATTGAGGTGTAAGGCTCTGGGGGGCAGGAGCCGGGACACGCCGCCTGCCAGGAGGAGGTTGCCAGGGACCAAGCCTCAGAGCATTTTCTCCCTCTGGCTCCCCTGCGCTGGGGAGACGCTGGGGCACCGGGCAACGAGAGCAGGATTCATCGAGGCCCCAGACTCCCGCCAGGAAGAGCCTCTCGGGGCTGCATCTCACGCACCCAGCACAACGTTAAGGGGCAGCCAGCTCTCTCCTCGGGGAGGCTGTGCTTCTGCCAGGTTCTGAGTGTGCAAAGCCCAGAGCTGAATCAACAGCATGTGGTGGCGGGGCAGGGGCTGGGTCGGGGCTGAGGCTGGCGAGGTTCTTTGTACGACCGACCACCGACCGCTGACAGCTGAGACCTCCTGGCCTTCCCTAACTGCCTGAAACTTACTAGTATGTGATCACTTTTTTGTATTATTGTTCAAGACTACTCTCCCCCTAGTACCCCAATCCCAGGCCTCACAGGGCAGGAATTTAACTCTTACTCGCTGCCTGGGGTGCTTGACACCGAGTTATCATTCCATATTTGTTGAATGAATGATTGAATGTTTGCTCACTGCTTAATGAATGACATTGTATTAATGCTGCCTGAACAGCCCAGTGGAGAAGCAGCCGGAGGCCTCCACGGGGGTGACGCAGATGTGACGGGGCTAGGCCACCATGAATGCCTGGGTCAGACCTCACGGCTCTGTGTGCTCCCAGCAGCTTGTCTCCTGCCATTGTCAGAGGAGCAAATGCACACCGGAAGCCAAGTCATGCAACCCAGGGAAGGGGTGGCTTTTCTTGCTCCAGCTCTGCCCTCGGCTCTGAGAAACGATGGACAAGCCAGGTCCTCGTGCAGAAGGAAGAGCAACAGGGACGGGAGGGGCCTTGGTGAAGTCGCCCTGATGGGCCTGGGGTCACAGGAGAGCAACTGGACCAGAGGGAACTAAGGCCTGGGCCAGGCAGCTCAGCCTGCACCGGGGTCTGTGCAGAGTGCCCTGGCCCCTCCTGTCACCTCATCAAGGGTGCCAACGACCTTTCCCCGCAGCAGGAAGTACCCCCCACCCCGGGTAAGGCTCCTTTCTATGCGGATGGCAAGGGGCGCACATGCCTGTTTCTAGCCTGTCAGGGGCCAGGAACCATTCTGCTACTGCGGAGAACGTGAAGGTCCGCAGCCCGGGGGACTTCAGCCCGAAAGCCAGCCCAGGATGGAGGCCGAACAAGATGCTAAGTGTCTTGGTATCCTGCCTGTGGCTGTGTCGCATGGGGCCTGGGCGGGCGGGGGCGGGGGGCGGGGGTTGGAGCTGGGAAGACTCCTTGCTCTTTCCTTGGGAACCTACAGCTACCGTGCTCCCCACAGAGCTGGGGGCCCAAGGAGCGGCATCTCCAGCTGCACCCCAAAAGGCGGCTTCTAATCTTTCTACAGTGTGCCAGCAAGGAGCCAGTTTCAGCACCGGCCTAACGGCACGCGGCAGCCCAGCAGAGCCTCTATAGGGCAGCTCAGCGCAGCTAGCCAAGCCTCGGAGGGGAGGCACAGGGACTGGGTGTGCTAGACACCAGACCTGTCCCCGGGGCAAGAGCTCACACCGTGGGGGCTTCCTGTGAATTCCAATGCTCTCACAAGCCAGAGGCCAGGCTCCCCAAGCCCCTCTTCTCCCCTCTCCTCTCAGGGGGCTGCCTTTGTGCCAGGTCACAGGAGGACACACGGAAAACGTGGAATGTGCCTCCAAAGCACGGACTGGATGCTCCAGCGGCTCCCTGCGGCCCGGAGGGTGAAATGAAATTCCTTAACGTGAAAGGTGTGCGCTCACTTTACCCTGACACACGACGCCCTGCAGACACTCTGATCCCTGAGTTCAAGTCCCGCCACACATTCTGCCTCCTGGCGTAATGCAGGTCTGCCTGCCTGCCTTTGCACACGCCAGCCGCTCCCCAAGATGCTCCTGGCTCTGCACTTCTCTCCTGCAGAACCCTCCCACCCAGCCTTCACCCCCTGGCTGCCGAATGTTTCCCACGCTTCTCCCCTCTCTGCTCCCGCAGCCTTGTCCTGAACTGCATCTTGTTAGATCAACGCTAGCCACACATCGGCAACGTCACACAGTACAATGCAGCATTCCCACACCAGCATGCTGTTTCTCATCCAAGCTCTGTAAGGGCACCGCGCCCCGTGCCGCTGCGGGCTCTGGGAGGTGGCTGGTGGGTACTCATGAATGCTGCCCGGTCAGTGAGCGCCGCCTGGCAGGCTCTCGTGGGCTGCCCGTTCTGCTACGCTGCATGCTCCAGCGCAAAGCCAAATCAGCTTCCAGGGCTGCTGTAAAATAGCTCACACACGTTCAGCCCAGCGCAGCGCGGCCGGGCTCCAGATGTCCATCTGTGCAGCGCGAGGGAGGCGAACCACTGAGGACAACTACCTTTCTGGAAGAGGAAGCAGTGTTGACAGCCGGCGGAGAGGGTGGAGCGGAGTCAGGAGATGGAAGGCAAGAGGGAGGAGACGGAGGATGAGTAGGAGACAGGCCTTTAGTGAGCAGTTTATTCTGCACGGAACAGAGACAGAGGAAACTAGGATTATCCCAGGGGACTGCCCAGGCACGCCTGCCTCCACGATGCGGCCCCACGCCCGTGGCCTCAGAGCACAGGGCCAACACTGGGCTTGTGGCTCGGAGCAAAACTGAAAGCTCTGCCTTTGGAGCCAGGCAGGATTATCTGGCTCCTGGTTACGCCGCATTCAGCTACAAAGTGTGCCAGCTCCCCCGTCACACCAAAACAGCTGCAGCAATGCTGTTTCTGCCTCCATCCGCCCCGGATGCCAGGGCTACTGACGGAGCTTGGCGTGAAGTGGCAGCTGCAGGCTTAGGAAGGGGGCACCGTGGGCTGCCTCGGGGCAGAGGGCCCCAGCAGGGGCTCGGCAGCTGCAGGCAGACAACTGTGCCGGGCAACCCTGAACATGAACTGAACATGAAGCCTTGTGCGCACATCAGTGATTCTACCTCATCTGGGAGGTCAGCGTGGAGCAGAGAAGTTTGAGAGGTGGGCTCGCGGCCAGGGACAGGGAGCCGGCACTCACGGTCAGCTCACACCTCCCTGGGAGCACACGCTCTTCTCCCCAGCAAGTCTCCAAACCAGGACCTGACTCGGAGGGGGCTGCACTCCCTGGTCTAAGGCAAAGTCACTCTCACTGGCCCGACACTGCCTCTTGCCAAGCAGAACCCAGCTGACAGCACGAGCTTGACCTCATCCTTTAGGGTCGCCTGTCAGGGCCTCAGGGAGATGTCTCCACCGTGCCCCTAGGCATCGCGAGCAGCTGGTTTGCTTTCACCTTAAAGGCAGTGTTACGCTTGCAGTTGGCCAGCATGCCCTCTTTGCGTGGGCCCTTCGGAAGCTCCAGGCTGGCTCAGAACCTGTCTGGGCTGTAACAGTCCGTGTTTCTGCTTAGTAGCATTTTTTGTTAACGTGAGCTCAAGCTCCTGCCCTGACCTCCCCTTTGGCATCATCTAGTTATGCTGAGTCTCTCACTTAGGTCTTTTTTCAGATGCCAGTTCAAACATCTGAGCAGCTTTAAAAATTGGATAACTTCTCAGGCAGTAGAAGGCGGGAGGGGCAGACCAAACTCCGGAGACTGCTCCTGGGTGCCGGGCCGGCCGGCCTGTGTGTTCCTGGGGGCTCCGGCGCCCCGGGTTTACCTGTGGGAAATCCCCATGTCCGAACAGAGAGGCCAGGTGAGCCGCCTTCTCCTTAATGTTCTTTTTGTGAAATTCCCTGTTGGCCAAGTTCTGGGCCCTCTTCTGCAGTCGAGGCAAGAAGGGAGAAAGAAGAGAGAGGCAGTGACAGAGACTATGGCGGTGCCCCCAAGAGAAAGGTGAGGAAGGCTGGTGGGGACCCTGTCCACTCACCACAGACAGTGGGACAGCAGGCAGGGAGCAAGCAGGAGAAGGGACCCCCGCCCCCCACAGGCAGGAGGAGGGGAGACAGGACGGGAAGTCACCGAGGCATGGCCAGGGGCGAGGGCCAGGAACAGTCTTTCACCTGGAGAATCTTTTCTTCCACCTGCTGCAGCCGCCGCAGCACCCCTGAAAGGGCCAGGGCTCCCTGGCAGGCGGGAGGCAGGGCCGGGGGGCTCTCGGGCCCAGCCAGCTGCAGGTCAGACTTGGCCCTGGCTCTCCAGGGCCTGCTCGGGCACTCGCCGCCTGCAGACACTTGCTTGAGCTCTCGGAGCACGTGCCCTGGCACAGCCGTGGAGGGGAACTGGGAAAGAGGGAAAATCAAGCTTCCTTCCCTCCTGCGGCCCTGCCCTAGGCCCCGCTCTAGGGAGTCCCCCCGCCGAGGACCGAGCCGAAGGCCACACCGGGTGCCACAGTGAGTCAGACTCCAGACTGGCCTCCCGGCTGAGCTTCGTCTACCTGCCTCGGAACCACCTGGCACCCTCGATCACGACACAGAGTCTGCCCCTCACCCCGGGCCCCCTGAATCAAAACCCATTCCACCCTGGTCCTCAATCCCAGCTGAACATTGGAATAATCTCAGGTACCTGAAAAAGCCCCCAAGTCTGGCCCAGCCCCAGAGATGCTGGTTTGATGGCCCTAGAGAGAGTAGCCGTCGGCACAGTTCACGCGGCTCCCCAGCTAGCTGTGCTATGCTCAGAGCCTCCACCACCTGGGAACAGCACCAACTTCCTAACACTGACCGACAGCTCTGAGCTCTGTGGTCAGTAAGAGGGATTCTGTTCAAATTCCAAACCCGGACAGCGTGGCTGGAGTGAGCTACAGTCGGTGGCCGCCAGCTGCCACCCTGGCTACTCTGGCAGCCAGGACGACTCACCACATCCATGCCTTCCCCCTTCAATGGTGACGGCCACGTGGCCCCTGAGTCCATTCCAGCATCGCTGAGTCATTGATTTGGAAATCAGCCTATTCAAGCATCAGTCTACAGACAAAGCTGAGTGTCACAGGGTATCACACGGAACATCCCACGTTGCCGGGGTTCCATTTTCCCCTGGTGACAACACCAAGAGCACGGCGGTTGGCCAGTTGGTACCTTCGACTGGTCGAGGGGGTCCTGGCATGGATTCCAAGATGCCGTGTACTTGGTTACTCTTACCTGGAAATGTGGGGACCTCAAGCTGTGTCATTTGCCCACAGCCTCTACAATCAGCCCTATCTGGGGGGTGGACGGAGCTGCTAACCCTACCCCTCTGCTCAAAGCCCCCTCTGGCTTCACCCACACAGCATCCACTGGACGGAGCCCTACCTGCCTTTTCAGAGGAGGTGATGGGCTGGGTGTGGGCTCGTCCGGCTTGGGGCAGTGAGAGCTAGCAGGAAGGTCAGAGGAAGAGCACAGGGTGGTCTTACCTATCCCTGAGTTACGGCGTTCCTGGGAGGAGAAAGGCCAGTCCCGAAAAGCAGCCACAGGAGACAGGAAGGAAAAGGTGAGTCAGAGAGGACAGAGGAGCGAGGAGGTGCAGGAGGGGCAGCGGGCAGGAGCAGCTGGAGCACTGGCCTGAGCTCCCGCAAGCCGGGCCCAGCCCGGAAACCCGAGCCCTTGTGAACAGCCTGGATTCCTAGAGTCCCCTCCTCCCAGACAACGTGTGAATCCCAGGGAGGCTTTGCTTTTGGCTCAGACACAGCGCCCTGGGCTGGCACTGACAGAGCCCACACCGGCCCGGGCGGCCAGCCCAGCAGTGCTCCCCGGGGGCAGGAAAGCTTCCCGCCCACCCGAGGGGGAGGACCTGCCAGTTCTTCTGATGGAAGACAGCCCTCGTCTGCATCCAGTAACTGTGGGGGGTGGGCCTCCACAAGGGGCCACTGAGGACAGTTCTTGAGAATTTCAAGTCTCAGAAAGTGGTCCCTTAGAATAAAGTTTCTCCACCTGGGAAAGCGCAGCTGGTCCAGGAGAGGCAGGGCCCACCTCAAGACCACCAAGATGGCTAATGATCCCAGAGCCCGCTCCTTTGAAAGGGGTCTTGGCTGCTGTGTGGCAGGTGCTCTCTGCGGGGGAGCCAGACCCTCTCGCAAGCTTTTGTAAGGAGGCAGCAGCACCCCTAGTGGAAATTCAGGGGGGCAAAGAGCGCCCGAGGCACAGGCCCAGCAGCTAGAGTCAAAGCGAAGCTGGCAGCCTGACCTTCTTCAGCCTCAGGCTGACCCGGGGTAGAGGGCAGGAGGGGAGGCCCAGGGGACTCGGGTGTGGCCAGAATGCCTGTCCACCTCTGGTTCAGTTTCCCTGGGTTTGAATGGTTCTTTGCAACACGGACAACACTAACACACAGCCTGCAACTCAGCAGCTCCCTCAAGTGTGCCTCTCATGTCGCGGTTGCAAAGCACAACCACATAGGGGAATGGATTTCCTTAATGCAGAACAGGTGCCAGCACACTGGCCCGCTGCCTGCTTTGGAAATAAAGTTTTATTGGAACACAGTCAGACTCAACTGTCTATGGCTATGTTCGCACTTCAATGGCAGAATCGTGTAGTTGCCACAGAGACAGCACTGCCTCCCACACGTAGAAAAAGTTGCTCATCTGGCTTCTTCTAGAAAAGTCTGCTGACTCCAGGATTAGAAGCTCGGTTGTTGCTTTAACCAGGCCTGGCTGGCACAGTGGCAATCCATCTCTAGCCTGAACAATTCTGCTACCTTCCCGGCAGCCGCAGGTCCGTTGAGCGCTGGCTATGTGACTCACCTGCTTCAGGAGCGAGGGGTTCCGAGTGCTCTCCTCAAACTTGGCCAGCAGCTGATTTGCCATGGACTTGACTTTGTTCTGACTGCCGCCTTCCTTACTGCTGCCACACTCCTGACTGGAGCCCAGGCTCCGGCTGGAAAAGGCTGGTGGCTGTAGAAGTCACAACAGCACAAGGCAGGTTGGCTCCTGGACCCACATAGCAGGGAGGGGGCCCGGGGACTCAGGACACAGGACTGGGTTCCTGAAGTGGGGCTCCCTCTGTGGGCTGAGGACCTGAGGCCAGCACAGCGGGGATACCCTGTAGAGACCATGCTCACGGCAGGGGTCGCGCCTTCCAGAGCCTGAGCCTGGCTGGGCTTAGGAGGCAGCCAGTTAGGGCCTGAGTCCTGACTTTCACTCCCCAGCTGTGTGATATTTGCTCAGCATCCCTGGAATTCCCTCATTGGTCAATGGAAGGAAACCCACTTCACGTGCAGGAATCAAACATGGCAAGCAAAATGGGTTTCAGAACACACCCTGAGCCTGAGAAGGGCTGGGGCGCAGGGGAGCAGGCTGGCCAGGCACAGGCTCTGGGCTCCTCTCTCTTCCCCCCAACTTCGCCCAGTCCTGTTGGGTTTTGCTATCTTCTAGTTTAGGAACAATTTCAGATTTACACAAATGTTGTAGAGATAGCACAGACTGTTTCTGCACACCCTGCACCCATTTAATTGTCTTGACCGCTAATATCTGGAATAATCACTCTACTGTTGTTATCAGAACTAAATCCACAGTGGCACAATGCTACTCGAGTTAGACTTTATCCAACTGCCCCGGCTTTCCCCCTGAGATCCTTTTCCTTCTCTAGGGTCAATCCAGGAACCCACGCGGCATCTAGCCACTCTCCTTCCTGGGTTTCCTCCGTTCTCTCCTCTCCTTGTCTTTCCTGGCCATGCCACCTTGCAAGGGCACTGGCAGCTGTTTGGTAGGAAGTCCCCCAGTCTGGGCTGCTCTGCTGTTGGCTCACGATGAGCCCTGGGTTGTGGGAGGATACCACAGAGGGAACTGCTCTTCTCATCACATCCCAAAGGGATCTGTGATGCCAACATGGCTTGTAATGGTGAAGTAGATCTTGATGGCTTGGGTGTGCTGTTTTAGAACACGAGGCTCCCTGTAAGACTTTTCCAGCTCATCTGCTAACAATAGCAACAGAAAATCACCAGGGGCCCGCAGGAGTGTCTGTTGCCCCCTCCCCCCCCAGCCCCGCAGGCCTCAGAAGTGTATAATGGCACTGCCTTGTCTGGGGGCAGGAGGCTCCCCCAGGGAGACAGAGCAGGGGTTCTCACCATAACAAAGAACTGGGCTGGAAGAGGCAAGCTGTGTTCACTGTGTGTATTCAGGGAGCCTTGTGTGCACAGCCACTCTGAAGTGCTGGGCAAACACAGACCAGAGAGGCCCTCTGTAATTCACCATGGGAAATGCACTGAGCACAAACACCTTACGTGGCCAAGGCCAGCCAGGACAGAGAGCCACCCGGGCCGGCGGCACCTTCCACACCTCGCTGTGCACATGAAGCACCTAGGAACTGATGTGCAAAGACAGCTCTGCTGGCGGGAGGACTGGGTGGGCACCGAGAGTCTGTGTTCTAAACACGCTGCCAGGTGACACCGAAGCTGCCAGATCTTTGAGTAGCCGGACTTTAGGAAGAATGATTGCTTTGTTAGAGCTGACTTTCAGCAAAACAGCTGCCCAGGAAACAGCCCAGCGCCTCCTGAGAAGGAGCAGATGCAGAGATTTCTCCCCACTGCTGGTCGTGGGCTGCCAGCCAAGGAAACAGCACCTGGCCCTCCTCGAAGGAGCAGGAAAGGCAGGAAGAGACTTCCAGCTGAGACACAGTACACCCAGGGAAGCTTCTGGGGAGGAGGTACCGCCACCTGTGACTGGCAGCTGCCACTCAGCCCCTGCCCCGCCTCTCAATGAACTCCCTGTTGGCTAAAGAGGCTGCAAGCAACACTTGGTGCTGGGGTCACCCAAAGACACTCTAGAAAAGGGCTACACAGGATGGTATCCCCTCATGTCACCAACAACATGCAAACACTTAAAAATGCATGGAAAGTGAGCATTATGAAAAAACTTCCTTGCCCCCAAATCAATTTATGTTTTGATTCAATTTCCACGAACTTTCTGAAGTAGTTTTTTTTTGGATGAAGTGTGTATCTCAGGTCTCTTGAAAGATCTGCCTCGTGGAGCAGGAACCAGCTCGCTTCTGCTAAGCAATTTTTCAGAAGCAGGTGCTCCATTAGTGCCCTCCTTTGACTCTGCAATTTTTCTCTTTCACCAGACGGTGGCGCTCGTGGGCACTGGGATGTTTGTCTTAGACTGAAAGTGCAGAAAACATGGGAAGACTCCAAACATTGCCTGGGAGGACAGTGGGACTGCTGGGGCCCCTGGATTACCTCCTCTTAACAGTGATTGTACGCGGAGTAGCCCATGGGTGCCAGGCTGTGTAAGTCATCTTACTGATCTTTAGAAACCCTGCAGTTTGTTTTGAATGTATTATTGCCTTATTTGAGTAGGGTCCACACCCTGGGAGTTACCTTTCTCAAGGTTGCATAGCTGCCAAGTACTGAGGCAAGGTGAGGACACGACCCCTGACTGATTTGGAACCCAGTGGTTCTGGGAGAGGAAAAAAAGAAGGGTCGGGGCTGCAGCTGCGGTCAGGCAGGCCTCTGGCCACAAGCTATCAGGAGAAGGCCTTTGTTTATAGGGACCCCAGGCACACAAACCTCGTCCACGTTGTTGACGCCTTTCCGCCTGCGTTTGTTCATGTCGTTCTCTTCGGGTTGGCCATCCACCTGCAACGACCAAGAAAACATGGTGAGCCCAGGGACACTGTGGGCTAGCCTTGAACTGGCACTGGGGCTGGATCCCTGCCAGCAGGCAGACATGGCCATCAGTGACCTGCACTGTGACAAGCATTGGAGAGTGCCTGACCTTGCACAGGTGCCAAGGGTTCGGTAGGAGCAGTTGCGAGCTACATCCCAAAAGCTCATGATGAAATATCCCAAGCAAAGTGAATCCCTGTGACATGGGCAGGCAGGGGTTGTCACTGCTGCAACGCGACCTAAGGCTCCGAGCAGATTAACGATTCATCCAAGGTCACAGGAAGGCCTGCCGATGCCCTCAGTGCACTGCCTTTTGGAGGCCACCTGCGGTCTTTCTGTACCTTGAGAGCCTCTCTCCTACACGGAGGTGACACTGGCTCACTTTAGAGGCATTCTCAGGACTCAAGTGAGCTGTCCAGGGATTTGGTGATGAATTAAATCGGCAACTGAGGCACCATCCCAGCTATGATATTTTATTAATCTCAAATAAGCATGAGAGCTGGCCTGATGCCTACAATAACCACGCAGCCCAGTTTGCCCAAGCCAAACAGGTTACTGCCTCCCTCCCCCCTGCATAATTATTATTATTTTTTTGGACAGGCAGAGTGGACAGTGAGAGAGAGAGACAGAGAGAAAGGTTTTCCTTTTGCCATTGGTTCACCCTCCAAGGGCCACCGCGGCCGGCGCACTGCGGCCGGCGTATCGCGCTGATCCGAAGCCAGGAGCCAGGTGCTTCTCCTGGTCTCCCATGGGGTGCAGGGCCCAAGCACTTGGGCCATCCTCCACTGCACTCCCTGGCCACAGCAGAGAGCTGGCCTGGAAGAGGGGCAACCGGGACAGAATCCGGCACCCCGACCGGGACTGGAACCCGGTGTGCCGGCGCCGCTAGGCGGAGGATTAGCCTGTTGAGCCACGGCGCCGGCCCCCCCTGCATAATTATTAACAGTGTCCCCTTCCACTCTCCAAAGTTTCCCAGCTTGCACAACACATTACAAGGCTATTGTTCTACTGATAACCTCTCCTGGCCCACTGCTGCCTGGACATTTAAACCTGGAAAACCCTGCCTTATCTAAGCCCACTGCATCAGCCCTGCAAGAACCACCAAAGGGCTCCAACCACTGTCATCCCCTAAGGAATGAGTAGGATGGCACGGGTTGAGCTGATGCTAAGAGCTGCGGTAGAGGTTTAGCCTCTCCTTGCACCCTGTTGGGTAAGCTGTCCCAGGCTGGGCTGGGTCTACCTGGGCTCCACCATCCCCTTCTGGGGTTGGACTGTGCTACCAGCAGTCCCCCAGCTGTGGGACCCTCTCCCAGAGGCTAGCTCCCTCAGGGCCCTTGAGTCTACACACACACACACACACACCCCTCCCTTCTGCAGGACGCCTCCCACTCTGGGAGAGCCCCTCCAGAGAAGGCCCCTGTTAAGTGAGAGTCTTTGTACCACTGCAGCTGCAGTAGGAGGGGCTGCAGGCCACCTGCTCACCTCAAACCCAGGCATACGGCCCAATCGGCCCCATAAATCCTAACTTAACCTGGCCACAGGAACAGTCTTTTACCTCCTGATTGTTCTGCAGCAGTAGCTATGGGCGCCCTGGCATTCATTCCCCACGGGCCTGCTGCTTCCCCTACACTTGCACCCGTGTTGTCCCCAGCCTGCCTCTCCCTGGTCTACTAGAACCATCTTCTTCTTCTTCTTCTTTTTTTTTTTTTTTAAGAGAAGATCAACCACAGTTTAGTTGTTGACATTTGTTCAAAAATTTGACCCAGGCAGCACAAAACAACAGATGAAAGAGCCCCGCCTTGCCTTTGGCATTTTCCTCCACTCCTATTCTGTGAATGGAAATGGTTTCAACCCAAACACTTGGGTAAACACCAAGAGAAACAGATGACCTCGTTTGCAACTAGGTTAGGTTGTGGAGGCGCAGACAGTCTGGGCCCCGACTCCACAGCCTGTGAACGCAGCTCTGGCCCTGAGGCCGGAGCCTGGGAAAGTACAAAACGTTCTACCCGACAGGAACACTTGATGCACAACCAGGATTCTTCTGGTGTGTGTGTTTCCATCTCAAGCGGGGACTTGGTCTTTTCTCCAAAGAGCAGCCCACCCCGCTCTCCCTTCATCCTCAACAGCTCAGGAAGGGGCTGTGCAGTTGCAGACTGTATGGATACACACGGGCTCAGAACAGGCATTCCTGGGGCACATGTGCCCAGCCAGCAGTCCTAGGAGATCCCAAACCCTGTATGTGTGTGGTGGGGGGGATCAAGAAGTGCAAAGGGGCAACCTCAGCTCCCCTCCTCTCCTGCAGCCCGGGGACAATCAATGCAGTCTAGAGAGAAAGGTGAGCAACACACAGATCCTATTGATTTCTACTTTTCCTGTGGGTTCATCATTCAGGCACTGATTCTTAACCAAGATCTAGGTAAAAACAAAAATGTTAAGAAAATTCAAACCCAGGATTAACCTATTTTTTTCTTATCTGCTTCTCTATATTTATGCAACCCTCTCCCCTTGAACTCTATCTCACTCTATAAGGAGGAAGAAAACAGTTATGCCCAGTTGGAAGGAGCAGCAGTATGAAAAAATAGCTTCCTGGGGCCAGCGCCGTGGCTTACTCGGCTAATCCTCTGCCTGTGGCGCCAGCATCCCATATGGGTGTCGGGTTCTAGCCCTGGTTGCTCCTCTTCCAGTCCAGCTCTCTGCTGTAGCCCGGGAGGGCAGTGGAGGATGACCCAAGTGCTTGGGCCCTGCACCCACATGGGAGACCAGGAGGAAGCACCTGGCTCCTGGCTTCGGATCAGCACAGTGCCGGCTGTAGCAGCCATTTGGGGAGTGAACCAACAGAAGGAAGACCTTTCTCTCTGTCTCACTGTCTATAAATGTCAAATAAATAAAAAAATAGCTTCCTTTCTTTTCCAATTAATTTCCCTACCTCCTTTAGGGAGAACACCTCCTTATCATGATTTCCCAATTATGTCAAGGACTCTATACATCTAAAGGCATGTCTTAAACTAATGGGTTTCCTCATTAAAAAAATAATCAAGACGTATCTTCTATTTATTTGATCAGCACAAGATAGCCATGCTCCCATACTTCTTGAGTTATTGTGATTTTAGCTCAAAGCAAATAAACTTTAGTTAGCTGGTGCAGCCTAATGCTGGAGAAATCTAGCTGTGGATTGGAGTAAGAGAGGTCGGCGCTGTGTGCTCTGACCTGGGTGGCTGGAGCAGCAGCTATGATATTTGGAGAGATGGTCAGCAACAAAAGCAAGCGGGCTCTTTATCCAAGGGACCATGGCTCGAGTTCTGGTGCAACCTCGGGGCAATCACCTAGCTACTCTGACTTCAGTTTCCTAAACTATAAGATGGAACCTTTGACCTGTCTGGCTCCTAAGGTGTATGAAGATGAATGAAACATGGGTGTAAGCCATGTCTTGAATTGCAGAGTGCTGTCGATGCATGAGACACTATTAGCAGGGTCAGTGCTAGTAACGGCATTTCACCCATCCGAATCCTACTTCTGGCGCTCACATCTAACTGCCACCTGTGTGACTTACAAAATTGAATCCTCCAAGTCCAGGATTCCCCAGCTGTAACAGGGATGAGACTATGTTCCCAGCCTGCCGCCGCAGGCAACATGAAAAGCAAAGGAGATGCACAAGGGCATTTCAAGAAGTTTGTGGGAAAAGGGGGCGAAACGTTTACTTGGATGCAAAATATTTTTTGAAATCTACACCTCATCTTCATGAACATCGGGAAGATCCTTCTTAAATAAAAGTGCTTTGTACATTGGAAGATGCTGGATTGATCCTGGTTGCAGTACAGAGCCAAGTGTTCAAATAATCTCATGCACCTTTTCAGAAAACAAGCCTCTTCATTCCATCAGCATCCCGGAAGGGCTGAAACCACCGTTCACCGAGCCGCTTCCACATGCTGGACCTGGCGCTCAGGCCCGCAGTGTGCACTGCTCGCGCCAGCTCTGCGGCAGTGCTGCAGTGTGTGTTACTACCCTCATCATGCAGACGCAAAGGAGCTTTTTGAGAAGTGGGAACATCTGTCAAATCCCCAGCAGGTCGGAAGAGCTCTCTCTCTGCCTGGTTTCAACATGCATTCCCGAAGCACAAATCCGCTCGGATTCCCAGGAGGAAGGGAGACGCAGCAGCCCAGAGGGGGCCTGCAGGGCTACTCTAGGGCCTGATTTGCCCAGCAGTGGAAGCCCCCATGCTCCCGAATCTTCAGAGCCCTCTGCTAGTCTCTGAGATCCTAGAAATCTAGTGTGAGCATAGGCCGCCGGGTGTGGACGGGGGAGTGAGAACTTCTGATCTCGCCACAGGGTCAGCTCCCTGGGTGGGGCCCTTCACCATCTGGCTCACTGCTCTGTCCTCAGCACCTAGGACTCAGGGTGAATCAGGCACTCTGGAAACAGCTGTTGGCTGAGTGACTGGATGGAGAAGGCCTGTTCTTACCTGACCCTCCCTGGCTCTGTGGAAAGCGTCCGTGCAGGAAGGTTAGGAAGGGGAGGGGGAGGGGAGGGTCTCTCTCTCTCTCTCTCTCACTCAGAGCAGACACGGACACACTCGAGTATGCACACTTGTGAACACCACTCTACCAGGGACGACAGCTGGAGGAGGAGGACCAGGCTGGGCAGGATGAATCCTGGGTCCCCTACCTGGCTTCTGGGATGGGTTGACAGGGGAGAACTTCCGTGCTGCCCTCCAAGGAATGGGCTCAGAGAGTGGCAAAAGTCAGGGCCCCTGTGTGTGTACGTAACATAGCGTACGTGATGGCTACAGTTGTGAATCTAGGCGCCACTGGGAGACCACAGACAGGCAGCGCGCGCACTCGCGTGTGTGTGTGTGTGTGTGTGCGCGCAGGAATGACGCAAGCCTCAGATATGTGTTCAGGTGTCACCTGCAGACATGGTGACAACGGCCATGCAGCCTCAGGAACTGTCCACGTGGTGTGGCGTTCAGATGCCAACCAGGATCACGGGGAGATCTGCAGATGTGCAGACGTAGGGCTTTTTAGAAGGAAAACGTAATCCCCAAGCTCCTGTCCTTTTCCTAAGCAAGGGTCACCCAGTCCTCAGAGCTAATCAGCCCATGGGTTACACTCACAGTGGGAGGGGCGCATCACCTGCCCCAAAAGCAAGCAAGCCCTTCCAGGGAGAAAAGTATTTCATTTTGCTTCAAGCTGATAAATCTTGTTGGGATTTGGATGTTATCGGGAAGATAAGATTAGGGAGGAGAGAAGAAATTAACATCAACAATGAAAACCAGGAGGGAAAGGGATTCTTGACACTGGCTCAAATGACAGCTAATGGATTCTCTCCAGATTTGGATGCAGGTTATAACTGAATGCGTACCTGCCGCTCAATTTCCAGGACAGTATGTTCCTCAAGAAGCTGGGGAGAAGGGCAGGGAGGAAGCTGGAATACAGATGCATGAATATGGACAGAAATCCTGGGGGAGGCTATGGGATAGAATTGTGCAAGCTTGGCCTAGCGTGTCCATTCCATTCCATATGCAAAATAGACAAAGAAAGGGAGGGAGGGAGGGAGGGAGGGAGGGGAGAGAGAGAGATCAAGATCTCCCATTGTTGGCTCACTCCCCAAATGCTCCTAACAGCCAGAACTGGGTCAAGCCAAAGTCAGCAGCCTGGAAGTCTATCCCACATGGGTGTCAGGGATCCAAGCACTCGAGCCATCTCCTGCTACCTCCCAGGGTGTGCATTAGCAGGAAGCTGGAATGGACAGCAGAGCTGGGACTCAGACCCAGTCACTCCAATATGGGATGTGGGCAAACCAAGGGGCAGCTTAACCACCAAATGCCTCCCCTTGTATCTTTCATCTTTCTTTAGAGTTGATTTTAGATTCAAAAGAGTTATAGAGAGGGGGAGAGGGAGAGAGAGAGAGAGAGAGAGAGAGAGAGAGAGAGAGAGAGAAAGAGAAATCTTGCATCCTGTGGTTCATTCCCCAAATGGTCAGGATCTTATTCTGGGTCTCCCATGTTAGGGCAGGGGAGCAAGTACTTGAGCCACCTTCTGCTGCTTTCCCAGGTGCATTAGCAGGGAGCTGGAGCAGAAGTGGAGCAGCCAGGACTTGAACTGGAACCACATGGGATGCTGGCGCTGCAGGTCACAGCTTAATCTGCTACACTACAGTGCCAGCCCCCTGCCGTACTCCACCCCCCTATGTCTTTATTCTATAAGGGGGTATGAGTTAGGGCATTGAGGGTTGCATGTCTAATTGTACCCACCTCTCCTTGGTGGGCCTGGGGTGGAGCCTGCATGCCCAGGCACAGATGTGTGTGGATTTCAGAGTCTGTCAACACAGGCTCAGACTGGGGCTACACTCCTTGTTTGAGGGAGCTGTGGAGGCCACAGAGTCCGGCAGGTAGGTTCCCAAACCCAAAACCTATCTAGGTAAAAGGAGATGACGCAGGGGGAATGGGGAGAAGGCAAGTTCCACGTGGTCCTGACCACCTGGCAGTGGGCGATAGACAACATGCAGGATCATCTCAGCGATGACCCTGGCAGTGGGAGCCAGTGACCTTTCTAAGCCCCTAGCCTCACTGAGGGAGCACTTGACGACGAGTCTGAGAGACAGACAACACGTACTGCAAGGACCAGACCTCTCTATTCAAAGGGCCAATGACTGATGTTACAGGGGCTGAAGGAGGGGTCTTATCTATGGGCTTTGACCCCTCTCACGATGCCAAGCAGCCAAAGGATACCCTGCAGGACCTTGGTCAGGTTCAAAGGGGACAGGCAGCTTCCCCCACTCCCCAGCGCTTCCCTGCAAGCCAGAGGCAGTGTGGCCTCGCCGACTCCTGCCTTGCAACCAAGCCAGTGCTGGCCAGTCTGCTCCAGTGGGGTCACTCTGTCAACAGAGGTGTGGTGAGCAGAAGCTTTGAGCTTTCCTCTCCAGTTGCATGTGTGGGCCGAGGGCAGTCAGCATCTGGCCCGCGGAGCTTCTAGAACGACTGTGCTGGCTGGCCGGGGACATGGCCGCCTGAGGCACAGCTTCCTGGGCTTCAGAGGCAGACGGCAAAGCCGGGGTGGAGCACGCCAGTGATGGGGCTCCAGGAGACAGCACAGTGGGCCGGGTAGCCCCTCCCTCACAGCTGCTAGGCCAGGGAGAGAGAACAGCTGGGGTCACTCATTGTCTCGGCAGCAGCTGTGCTGAGAAGCCAGCCCCGGGTCTGGCTGGCCATTGCCTTCCTCCAGCCGCGGGCAGGCAGAGGTGTCAAGTAGCTGCACCGGAGACAGAGAAGCAGTTGTGGCTGTGTTCCTGGGAACAGGGAGGGCAGGCCTCCGTGGGAAAAGTGGCCGCTGCCTCCTGCAGCAGAGAGACAGGAGGCCAGACAGCCCCAGCCCACGCCAGGTGGACAGGCTGGCAGGACAAGGCAGCGCTGGCCAGGGGTGACGAGACTGCTGTGACCGAGGAAGACCCAGAGCCACCCAGAGGCCTGCAGCCTACTGCTGGTCTGCAGACAGATCATCGGCCCAGGGGAGTCCTCAAGGGTGCCCTGTTTCAGCCCCTGTCCCCAGGGTCCCTCCCCTGTCTTCTGCTCCCACTGACCACCCCAGAAGCTCCCACTCCACTCACGGTCCTAAAACCCCCTTCCTGTCACTACTCCTTGAAATGCGCGCCCCGCCCCCTCCAGCTCTACTCTTGTCCCCAGGCCAATGCTCACTCTCCTTCTCAGGTCGTCCCATTCCTCTCTGCCTTTCTGGCTGCTCCCTCCCCATCTTGCTTGTGGGGCTGCTCTGCCTTGGCCAGCCCCTTCCATTCGCTCATTCCCGTAGGCTGTGACCTTGGTTCGAGCCCTCTCTCTGGCTTACCAGTATCTAATCTTGGCCATGAGACTCTAGGATGAAGCCTCACGTCATGTCTGCATGCCCTGTCACCAGAGACACACTAAGCGCCTCGTAATGAATGAGCTGTAATGAGTGGCGGGGTGGCCCAGTGTAGGGTCGAGTCCATGAAGCACCACTAAGCCATCGTGACCTTGGGCACCCAGCCCCCTGAGCCTCTATTTGTATTTGTAAAATGAGCACAGGGGGGCTGGCATCGTGGCGCAGCGAGTTAAGCCTCCACTGGGAGCCCGGCATTCCATATGGGTGACACTTGGAGTCCTGGCTGCTCCACTTCTGAATCAGCTCCCTGCTAATGCAGCTGGGAAAGCAGCACCGATGGTATGAGATCCTCCCTGCCACCCCCGTGGGAGACCTGGATGGAGTTCCAGCCTCCTGGCTTCAGCCTAGCCTAGCCAAATGTGGCTATCTGGGGAGTAAACCAGCAGAGGGAAGATCTCTCTCCGTCTCTCCCTCTCTCTGTGTGACTCTGCCTTTCAAACAAAGAAATCTTTAAAAAAAAAAATGAAGAAAGCTTGTCTCATACTGCCTGTTAAGCACCTGTCATTCAAGTAAAATTCTAATTGTTGATTAGGCTTTTAATTCCCAAAGTGTGAACCAAAGTGCTTGTGACACGGTAGTGAATTCTCAGAGGACTTGCAGGATGTTTTACTTTTTCCAGGAACATAGGGTGAGGTCTGTCAGGTCCCTTGCAAAATCCTCCTGCTAAGTGGACTTAGGCACTTAACAAACAGAACCGCTAGGCATTCCTGTTGATCTGGGGAACCTGTTTATTAGACTCGGAGCTCCCCAAAGGCAAGGTCCGCATGTGACTCACTTCTGCATGTGCTCCCCGCGCCCCCATCAAGAGCAAACAAAAAACTACAGCTGCGAGGTCGGCACACAGATATTTGTGCTGGCCCTAAGCCTTTGTCGAACAAGTGAATGAACACAGATTCACGAGGCAGACGTGTAAATGGGACTTCAGCACCACACACCTTGGCCACTATGCTCCCGCTCCATATGGCTTCTTAGAGGGAGGAGTCACCCCCTCCCCAACCCTTAGAGGCAGCGCCAGCGGCTTCACGCGGATAACCACCCCCTAGCGCATGCGCACACACTCAGCGCCTTCCTGCACCCTTCCCATACCAGTGGCTCGGGGTCAGAGAGAGCGTCCAGAAATCCCCTGCTACCAAACCCGCCTCTACACGCATCTTCCGCCAGCGCCCCACCTGGAGTCGTCACCGCTGCACACAGACTGAGCGTCGGAGTCTCCTGCCCTTTGACCTTATCCACGTGGGCAAAACAAGAAGCAAAACAGAACCAGGCAGAGACTTACCCGCGGCGTCCGCTTCCTTGGAAGCGTGAGGTTGAGATAGTTATTAGGAATGGAGGACTTGGCCAAGCTGAAGTCGGCATTCTCTCCGTAGTTTTTGCGCCAAGAATCTGTCGGGGAAAGAGAAGTGAAACTGAGGTCTGGATTCCCCAGGCCCTGGAGGGGTCGTCTAGCCAGGGAGCACCGTCGTAACAAAGTCCCTCTGAAATAATTAATTCCTTCCCTAGACTGGAAGAGGCACGTGGCCTGTGTTGGCCACTTGATGCAGTCCTGACTCTGACCTCCCTGTAATGGAGCAGGGGGGCCCCACACGGACCCTCCACCCACAACCACAGCCAGTCACACACTGTGCCACCCCTCGTTGCCCTCCGAGTCAAAGGGAAGGCTCAGGTCTGTCCCAGAACACTCAAGGCTGGAGCAGCCAGAAGCAGGCACGGGAACAGAGATGGCTCCCAGGGTGGAGAGCGACTGCTTTTGCTTACCCACGGGCCTCAGTGGGGCGCCCCGGAAGAGCTCGTAGAACTTGGAGAGGTACATGACCATGCTGAGCTTGTCGGGCACTTGGGCCGAGGCCATCTCCTTGCCCGTGGTCACCGGAGGGAACCCAAACTCGCGCTCGGCCACATCAAATGCCAGCTGGTTGTTCTCCACTGCGTCGTCTTCGTTCAAGGAGTCGAAGTTGCTGCAGCATCAGAACACAGTGAGGGTTCAGGGGGAGGTGGGTGAGCTCAAGGAGAGCCCACAAGGTGCCCTGCCCTGGTCCTGGAAGACCTAAACCCCACCTTCACTCAGGGAGGGCCCAGATCCACGTGGGCTGTGAACCTGACACTGAAATTGTCACAATATCATGTAAGCCTCTCTGGAAGATATATGAGCTACTCTGCTTTTCAGTCGTTCCCTTCCGTGGCTTTCTCTTTGACTTACAAAGGAATATGGGATTCTTCTAAGAGAATCGAGTTACTGCCCCACAGAGCAGAAAGGGGGAGTCCCCTCTCCTTCCCACAGCACCCTCACTTCCTACAAGGACCGGCTGGTGGCCCTCAGCAGGTGTCCTATCAGCCCTGTTGGGTGGATTTGCACGTGGACATGAGGCTGTCTCATCTGATCTTCCCAGGACCCTGCCACCATTCTCAGTTTACAGATGAAGCATCTGACACTCACACAGGCTACATGGATGCCCACTGGCACACAATTAATGGGTCTGGGTCTCAATGTATTTATTTGTTTGAAAGGTGGAGTTATGGGGAGGAGAGAGAGATTTCCCATCCACTGGCTCACTCCCCAAAAGGCTGCAATAGCCGGGGCTGGGCCAGGCTGAAGCCAGGAGCTAGGATCTTCATCCAGGTCTCCCACATGGGGGCCAGGGGCCCAAGTACTTGGGTCATCATCCACTGCTTTCCCAGGTGCATCAGCAGGGAGCTGGATCAGCAGAGGAGGAGCTTGGACTAGAATGGGTGCTCCTATGGGATGCCAGTTACAGACAGGGGCTTAACCTGCTGCATGCACCAAAAAGCTGACCCCGCAAGCCTGATTCTTTTGATTGGAACCCTTCTCATTGGTGCCCAGAATTAGGTCTTGCCCAACTTCCTCTTTTGAGAGTAGAACAGCAAGGTATGAATGCTCAAATTTCCACAGCGCGGCAGCAGGAGCGGGGGTTGCAGATCACTCAGCTTGAGCCCATTTGTAAACTCCCACATAAAGAACACAGATCAAACCCGCTGTGGACAGGGCAGCCAATGGAGAGGGAAAGGGACACAACTGGGAACAACCCAGACTGAAACCACACAAAGGAAGCACTGAACCAAGCCGTGAAGGCTCAGCACCTGGCAGAACAGCCCTGGTCCAGTCCGGCCCCAGACTCACATCAGCTCCGGCCGGAAGCGGTGGATGATGGCACACAGCGCCAGGCCGCTGCGCCAGGATGTGGTCAGGTCGGTGACATTGACGTGCTGGTAGCCCTCGGTCTGTTGCTGGCACCAGGTTAAGAGCTTGCTGGGGCGGATGTCTGACTCTGCAGGAAGGAAGGGAAGCCTTGTGGGATGCCCAGGGAGCCTGCTCTAGGCAGCCCCACCCATTGCTACCAGGGCTAGGAACCAGGAGGAGCCACACCCAGGCAAGGGGCCAGGGCAGAGGACACGAGGTGTGGGTGCAGCCTCTGTCAAGACGCAGGACGCCGGGACAGGAAGCAGGCTCTCCTCCTGCAGAATCCCTAAGACCCACCGTGGGCAGGCTCCAGGTTCGAGGCTAGGGACACAGCCCTTGCCCACAGCATGCTCAACTAGAGGGGAAGAGAGGCGGAAGCAGGTGATGGGGACATGGGGCTGCAGTGGAAGGAGAAACAGGGTGCATGGAGAAGATGTGACCCGAGTTTGCAAAGAAAGCATCGCAGGCAGGTGCCTTTCAGCAGGCTCTGAAGAATGTCTAGGAATTCATCCAACAGAAGACGGCCTTCCGGGAAGGCACAAAGGACTGTGCAGTGGCAAAGACTCTGGAAAAGCTGCCCTGTCTGTAACAGGAGAAGGGTTCGTTACAGTACATGGAGAGTGACAGCAGCAGGGCACGTGGTGTGTACGGGGAGGGGAGGAGGCACGGTCTGGACAGGCAAAGGGAGCCAGAGGGATCTGCAGGCAGGGGAGTGGCTGGGAGGAGCTGGGTGCTGGGAGGAGCTGCTCCCTGAACTGCTGCTTCCCCCGCCACTGTGGGCAGCAGCCCTGTGTCTGGGGCTGTGCTGGGCCCCAAGAGTCAAGGAGAGGAGAGCACTTGGAGCTCCTCTTGTAGTCAGGGAGACAAGGCCCCTGCACTGGAAGCCACAGCAATAAAATCCAGTTCCGATGCCAGCACCACAGGTCTCAATAGCTTAGCACTATTGTGCTAAGCATCCCACGTCCAAGTCCCTTTACTCCTGGCAATATTCCTATGGACTTAGGAGATGTGGAAACGGAAGTTCCAAGAGGAGGTCACACAGGTAACCAGGGCAGAGCCAGGCTGCCTGCAGAGCAGGTTACCATGGCCACCGAGCGAGCTGGCCAGGGTCCCAGGAGGGTCACTTACCCCGCCTGGAGAGGCCCACAGTTCTCCGCACTGAGCCCAGTCTCTCAAGAGGGTAGCGGTCCAGCTCCTTAGTGATGAACAAATGCTTCACCTGTGGACAAGGAAGACCACACCATCTGCCCACTGTCCCGAACCCTAGTCTCAGGGCCTCTGCATTTTCCTCATTGCTAGCCAGCATGACCTTTGGCAAGGAAACCTGCGTGACCCGACTCCTGCAGGCATAGGTCTTGATGATCTGCCTCAGTGTGCAGTAACACACACTGTTCTTTCGATTGAAGGCTATGTGTATGTAGAAATGGACTCCAGGACCAAAGATGGTACAGAGAGAGGATACTGGGCCAAGTGGATTGAGAAAAGTAGGATTGGCAATGCATACGCATAGTAGCAAATTAACATGCAAATATATGCACTCAGGAATATGCACATGAGACTGCGTATACATACTTATATATGTCTATCTGTCTGTCTGTCTGTCTGTCTATCTTTCTATCTATCTATCTATCTATCTATCATCTCTAAGTGTTCTGGCCCCCTCCTGTGGCCTAGAAAGAATGCTCACTCTATGTGTTCCTGGGTCCTCCCAGGAGAAGCCCTGGTCCCTCCCTTAGGCCAACAGGTGTTGGTACCCTGGGAACGTGCCAGTGTTTCGTGTGAGCCTCTCCTCCCCTTGGCTTAGTGCAGAGAGACCCCAGTGGGGCCATGGGGACGGCCTTACCTGATGGGGCCTGACACAATTCGAGTTGAGGTTTGGGTAGCGCGTCCCTGGGTCCAAGGTGTACTGCTCGAAGTTCTTGTTGATGTTCTCTGGGGTGGTTTGAGGTAGCAGCCGGTACAGACTTTCTCTGCAGAGAGGCAGAGCCCAGAGCTCAGAGCTCAGGATCTGCTCCAGTCACTTCCCAACCTGCCCCCTTCCTCCCCCAGGCCCCGCTTCAAGGGTTTCTTGGGTGTGTGTGCACAGCCCTGCCTGAAATGCCTGGCATTTGTGGTTCCTGAGCTCTGCATAGTGGAGGGAAGGTCACAGAGGCCCAGAGAAAGGGGTGGCCAGGCGGCAGGGACGCCAGCCCATTCCCTGGGCAGAAGGTAGGGACGTAGAACTGGCAGCACGATGGCCTGTGGTCTGGCTATAACCACCACTCAGCCACGCTGCCTCCCGTGGCCTGGCTCCCATGACCACCAGGGGCCCTGCTCCACCGGCCAGCCTTGGCTTCTGGTAGTCCAGCAGCTGACACAGCCACATGGCCGACAACAGAGGCCTGGGAAGAAGCCCAGGATCTCAGCAGTCCAGCCAAGGCGGGACACCCCACAATGCCCTCTAAAGATGCCTGGCTGGCTCTTGGGTAAAGGAGCAGGGCTAGGAGGCCCCGACGTCAGGGCCACCCCAGGGGAAGGCTTCCCTTTAGTTCCAGGACCCTGGGTGGCAGAAGAAGTAAGTCCCTGAAGGAGGTCAGGATAGAGGAAGTGTCCTTGGGGCCCTTGATGGTCAACTCAGGGACAGCAGATGAGACAGGGACAGTCTGACGGGGTGGCTGGCCTTGCCCCTCTCCTGCTCTGCCCCTGCTGGGAGCACTGCCATCAACACTCACCTCTCAGCCAGCAGCTCCAGGGCTGGGGTACCCTGGTCCCAGCCCTTCACCATCCACGCTGTGTCAAAGGCCGCCAGGAAGCCGCGAGCACAACCGGTGCCCATCGGCCAGAATGGCTGCAAGGAAAAACACGCAAAATCCCTGTTGACACTAACGACTCCTAGCGCCTTATCCCGTCCTACCCAGCTCTCTCTGATTTCTAGCCTCTTGCAAGGCAGAGGGGTTTAAGGAGGCGACAGGGCAGGGTTCTTGCTGCCTGCAAGGACGGGCCACAGTCACAAATGGTTGAAGCATGAAGCCAGATGCAAAGGGCTGTGACACAGGCACAGCAAGACTGTTCGAGGACTCAGAGGAGGCCAAGCCCAGTCCCATTTTGTGAGAGTAAGATGGGAACCAGGGAACACGTCGATGAAGAGCTGCATTTACATCAATTGTATTTCATATTTTTTACTTACTTAATTAAATAATGTGAGGGGCAGAGAGGGAGGAAGGGGGAGAGAGGAGGAGAGAGGGAGAGGGAGAAAAGGAAGAGAGAGAGAGAGTCTCCCATCTACTGGTTTACATTTCAAATGCCTACAACAGCTGGGGCTTGGCTGAGGCCAGGACCTGGGAACTCAATCCAGGTCTCCCAAGTGGGTGGCAGGGACTCAACTACTTGACCCATTACCTACTGCCTCCCAGGGTCTGCATTAGCAGGAAGCTGGAGTCAGTAGCTGAAGCCAGAAGTTGAAGTTGGGTATTCCGATATGGGATGTAGGCGTCCGAACTGTGTCTTAACTGCTGAGCTAACCGCCTGCCCTGATGCTGACTTTAAACAATGGATGGGATTCTGCTGTGATGCATTGAGGAATAACCTGGGTAAAGGCTTGGTGGCTGCACCCTGCCAGAGTCTGATGGAAGAACAGCTCAGCGGGTGTGGACAGTGCAGAGCACAGGAAGAGCGCAGGCAGAGGGAGCGCCAGGAGGGAGCCCGGGACAGAAGCAGGCGGTGCTGACTGCTCGCCCATGGATCCACCCAGGAGGCCGTGCACCATGGTGAGCAGGGACCCACTCTACCAAGCTAAGCCCCAACCACTCTGTCCCCGGAACAGCCGAAACACGGTCTGGAATGTGACTCGGGATAAATCCAGAAACGTTTTTTTGGTCAGTGCTTCCATTAAAGATAAAAAATGTATCCTTCCTGAAAGTACTCATGGAATCTAAAGCTCTTTGTGCTTGCGGATTTTCTGGGAAAAATCTTGAGCAGGAAGGTCATTCACGGAAGGTGGACTCTGGGGCCCACAGGATTCTACCGCAGTCTGTGCAGCTCTCCATAGTGAAGGGTTGCCAAGTGGCCCCTGCTCAGGGCCTCTCTGCCCAGAGGAGGACGGCACATGCGGTGTAGACCAGGACTGTCTGATTCTGTACTGCACCAAAGACAGTAGTGCAGGAAAACCCAGAGGCGGAAGAGAAAGCTCTCCCACCTGCACGCAGGTAGGCAGCTGCCCCCGGATGCCATGAAAGGGCAGGCAGGCTGGCGGGTGGGCTCCAGGGCCGGGGTCATGCCAACCGACTGAGAGCCCGTCCTGCCCCAGCCTGTGTGCCCCTGTACACACGCAGGGATCTCTCTCGCAGGAACAAGGGGGCTCCAGACACATGGCTGATACCTCAAGCAAGCTGTCGCCCACGAGGGCCACGAGGAGCTGGTGTGCCTGGCGCTCGCGCACCAGGGCCGCGTTCTCCGAAGCATACATGGAGGTGAAGTCAAACATGGCGACGTCAGGCTGCCCGTAGTGGTTCATGGCGAAGTCTAAGGATGGCAGCTGGTAGTTGGTAGCGAAGTCCGCGGCTTCCCGGGCGTAGGACAGCAGGTTGTCCTGGTTCACGTTCTCCGCACACAGCAGCATCTCTGTGTCCACGTAGTCCTGGGGAGACCGAGACACAGTACAGTGACCTGCTCCTTTAAGGGGCTCGAATTCATACCCACCCCTTGGCGCAAGGACTTGGAATGGGTCTACCCAGCGTGGCTAGTCAACACAGAAATAGAAAACCAGGGCCCAGGGATTACGGAGGAGAAGCATGAGCCAGCTATGAGGGTGAACACTGTTGAGATTACGCATCGGCTCTGGCGTTGAGCTTCCTGGCATCCAAGGCGACAGGGAAGTGGGATAAGTTTCAGGCTTCCCTTATCAGAAAGAAGGAAGCACAGCGAGTCCCCAGGGGAGGCGGTTTTTTTCCTGGCACTAAACCCGAAAAGATTGGTCTCACGTAGGAATTCCAACAGCGAGCACTCGGAGTGGCAACGGACTGTGTACTTGATAATGGTTGTGCAGGCGCATTTCCCACGGCTGGGACTCCTGATAACGCGATTCAAAAACGAAGGCGCGAGTCGTTAAGTGCGATTTTAAAAGGGACCAAGCCAAGCTAATGAGGTCCAGATAGGCTGTGTGCAGCAGGACCAGGAAAAACACGGTGCTCATGCGAACTCCCGGGCTTTCTCCCCAGCTGTCAGCAGGCGGAGAGCTGCTCAGGGATCGGCTTTGTTCTTAGCGTTCACTGCTCGCTTTCCTGCTGGGCGGTGGAGAACCCTGAGCTTGGAAGACAAGGAAATTATCTTGAGATGAGCCACTGAGGAAGCCAAGGACGTTTGGAGAGTTCCATAGTCTGACCCGATCACTGTTGGCAAGAGAAACTAAAAGGCTGCCCTTCTCAAAGTCACAGCAAAGGACATGACCCTGGATGAACACAGGCTTCAGGTCTGATGAGCGCCGTGGGTCAAATTCCACCCCTGCTGGGCCTAAATACAGATTGGGCCATGCCACTTCACTTTCGGAGTCTGCAGTGTTTCCATCTGTCAAGTGGGAACAACACAGCCCACTTCACAGAGCCACGCGAGGATGAGTGGGGTCGTGCACACACGGGAGAGCCCCGGCTCCTGCCTGGGACACAGCAGAGCCCACGGACAGGGGCTCCTGTGCCCCGTCGCTCATGAAGGTGTCCAGTGCAGCACTGGGAAGCACAACCTGCACCCAGGGAGGCACCGGCAAGAGCGCTGACCGAAGTCTGGGAAGTCATGGCCGGGCCTCCTGCCAGGGTGTTCTGCGAAGCCATGATCTCAAACGCCCTGCTCTGAAAATGCTCACATTTCCACACCAAACCGCACCCCACAAACCGCGCCCGGCATCGGCCCAAGAGCCCCTTCAGGTGCTGGCGTCGGGAGGGAGTTCCTGTCATCTGGTTTCCTTTCTGATAGGTGTCTTTGTAGCCACCTGACCACTGCCCTCTGGGGAAGAGTGAATGGAGAGAGGGAAGGGCCACACACACACTCAGACACACACTCAGATGCTCCTACACCCAGACACGCTCACACACACACTTATACACACGCTCACACCCACTTATACACACACTCACATGCTCACACACCCAGACACGCTCACACACACACGCTCACACTCACACTCACATGCTCACACACCCAGACACGCTCACACACACGTTTACACACACACACATGCTTAGATGCATGCTCACATGCTCACACACACTTACACACAGGCTCACACCCACTTACACACATGCTCAGACACATGCTCACATGCTCACACATTCAGACGTGCTCACACACACGCTCGCACCCACTTACGCACACGCTCACACACTCAAATGCTCACACACCCAGACGTGCTCACACACACGTTTACACACACACATGCTTAGACACACGCTCACATGCTCACACATTCAGACGTGCTCACACACACTTACACAAGGCTCACACACACATATGCTCACACCCACTTACACACACGCTCACACACTCGCTCACACACCCAGACACCCTCACACACACATACACATTCACACACACACTTACACACAGGCTCACACACTTACGCATATGCTCACACCCACTTACACACACGCTCACACACACACACATTCACACACACATGCTCACACACCCAGACATGCTCACACACACACTTACACACAGGCTCACACACATACTCACATACCTAGACACACTCACACACATTTACACACATGTTCACACACCCACTTACACATACGCTCACAACACACTCACACACACACACACACACGCATGCTCTTCAGCACACGCCCGAGCCCCTGACGTGGGCCGCAGGAGCAGTGAATATGGACGCTATACAATGAAGACAACACCTGTTGCTCACGTCCCAGGCAAGAGGCCAGGGAACTGACAGAGAGTAAACAGACTTCCGGCTGGACCTGAATGTGAATAGCTGGAACAGAAGGGCAGGCAGGCAAGGGATGCCTGTGTCCTGAGGTCAGTCAGTCATTCACCAAACATTCACTGACTTTCTGTGTGCCTGTAGGAAGACACTGGCCCATGTCCCGAGAGGAAAACAGAGAGGACTTGTCGTTCCTCAGGGGACCAAGAGAGGAATGTCAATGAAGTGGCTCTGGGAACAGGAGCCGGGTGAATGCTACGGAGCTCAGCTGGACGCCTGGACGCTTGGGTCACAGCTTCTGATCTACATGGCCTCCAGACCTACGTCCAGCCTCTGGACTCAGGTGTTAGACGAGGGTTCCTTGTCTCGAGGGCCTTGAGCAGCGGCTCACCATGCTGTGGGATCCTCTGAGAGAGATGGCAAGGCCTCGGCGAGTATGACCAGGGGCCAGGGGCCAGGGGCCTGCTCCCGGCTGTCCACAGCCCTGCTGGAGCAAGTGAGTCACTCACCCAGCACTGCCATGAGCGAGACGGCACGCGAGTATGGAGGGGCTCTGATGACTGCCAAGGAATCGAGGCGCCATGAGCCACAGAGCACTGCCTGCACACAGGCCTGGGATGACCTGAAGGTGACCCTGGCATCCCAGGAGGCTGGAGTACTTGGCCGTTGAAACACAGGACCCAAGTCAAACTCTGCCTGACCGCCCATCCCTTCTCTGCCAGGCTGCCCACTGCCCCTGCACCCGAGTGGCCCTGCACTGCCTCGGTCAGCTGCAACTTCCAGGAGGGACGCCTGTGGGGCAGAAGGAAGACAGTGAAGGGGACACTGCCCGCCCTGGCCTGAGCAGTCCACAGCGGGCACGCGACGTGGAAGCCCAGCGCCCTCACATCTGCCAGTGCACCCAACCTGCTCTGCCTCCCAGCACCCGTTCACAGCCTCCGTCCACAACACAGGCTCTCAGCAAAGCCCCGAGCGCTGCACGGGAGGCCCTCGGGAGGGTTGGGTTACTAATGCCGCCCGGCCAGCTGCCAGCACAAGCCAGCGAGGAGACGGGCGCATTCTTCTCTGACAAGCAGCAACAAATGGCCACCGCCTGGCCTGGGCTCCAGGCTGGCACCAGAGAGCGTGCTGGCCAGGACCGCGGGATCCTTATCTTGAGGACACAGTGCTGGTGGCGGTGGCAGGAACAGTGGACAGGCAGAGACTCTGACCAAAGACGCTTCCAGCCCCAGGGCCTCCTCCCTGTGGGCTTCTTCCTTCCTACCATGCTCTCTGTTTAGGAGCGAAGAGGCCAGGAAGCCAGCAGGACATAAAAGCCAGTGTCCAAACAAGGCCAAGAGTTAGAGAGGGAAGCTAGAACCCTCACCCCCAACGGGCGCTGGACATGCAGATGCCTTTATTTGCTCCTCTCCAGAGCCCCTTCTGACAGAAACCATGATCACTGCTTTGTAGACGAGAAGGCTAGGTTCCGAGAGCATAAACAGCCCGTCCGGGGCCCCAGCTTCGTTTGTGGCAGGCTCCAGTCTCTCCGGCTGCACCAGTGGTGAGCTTTCCTCCACCAGGACGAGCGGCCACAGCGCACCATGAACAAACAGAGGCAGCTCCACGTGCCCCCAGGACGAGGAGCCCTCCTCTGCCTCCATATGATGTGTAGCCTCCCAGAGACGGGGCAGGGCTGAATGATGATCCACACCAACACCCGGCTAGAGGCCCCCTGAAGCCACGCATGTGTCTGCAGAAACATCTCCGTGTGTGCTGGGGCAACCTCTTTGCCCAGCCGTCGTGTGACACTGAGAAAGGGGAAGGTGGAAGGAAGAGGCCCTGCCCTTACTCAGCTCCTGGTAGGACAACGCTTTGCTTCTGTACCTGCTGCCGCTGCCAACCCAGGTCACAAAGACAAACATGGTGGCGAGGCCCAGCCAAGAGGGACGTACCTTAATGATGACCCCTTTGTCGATCAGGCTCTGCTTTTTGGCGGTCATGACGAAGTAGTGGGTGCAGTCCTTGTAGTAAACAATGTTCTCAAGATCGATCCCTGCAAGGAGACACAGTCATGGCTCAGACCTACACCCTCAGTGCCAACTGTGTGCGGGGATGGTACCACGCCTCCTCACAGGGCCCAGGACTGAGCTGCAGAATGCTCACATGATACACCTGAGACACGCTTTGAACACATACAAGGTTGGAAAAGGGAAAACAGAGGCCAGAAGTTACCCACACCAAGGCAGCTTGCTTAGAGTCCCGCGGTAGCATTGAAAACATGCAATGTCTGTAGGGGTGCCAGCCAGGAGAGGTGGCTGTGTTGCTGGTCATGGCCATGGGACCTAAGTAAGCAATGGCACAGTCAGGAATTGAACCCAAGCCTTTCTGGCTCCAAGTGCCGTGCCTGTCTGGCTGTCTGTGGCCTCCCCCCTGCCGCCCTGTCTGGCTCCATGCCCCCCCATGCGGCCAGAGTGGCATACGGATATGGGAATTCTCCAAAGACTACACCAAGGAATGTCTCTCGCATTCTCTGCCCAGCTGCAGTGGGAGGAACACCTCAGTGTAGACGGCTGGGTTGTATCTTTTTGCACTTCCCGTTAACTGCTAAACACCCTACAGACCGGGGTTCTGCACCGACAACTGTGCTGTGAGACTGCAGCTTGGTCCAGTGGTTCTCAGATGGTGGTCCTGGACCAGCAGCACCAGCACCTGAGAACTTGGAAGAAATGCAAGTGATCGGGGCCAGATCAGCCCGAAGGAAGCCGGAGCTCTGGGGCCGCACCAGCACTCCATGTCTTTTTTTTTTTTTTTTTTTTACAGGCAGAGTGGAAAGTGAGAGTGAGAAAGGTCTTCTTTTGCCGTTGGTTCACCCTCCAATGGCCACCGCGGCCGGCGCACTGCGCTGATTCAAAGGCAGGAGCCAGGTGCTTCTCCTGGTCTCCCATGGGGTGCAGGGCCCAAGCACTTGGGCATCCTCCACTGCACTCCCAGGCCACAGCAGAGAGCTGACCTGGAAGAGGGGCAACTGGGACAGAATCCGGCACCCCGCCCGGGACTAGAACCTGGGGTGCCGGCACCGCAAGGCAGAGGATTAGCCTAGTGAGCCGCGGTGCCGGCTATCCGTGTCTTAAGAAACTCTCAAGGTGATTCTGGTGAACACTCAAGTGCGAGAGCCACTGGTGCAGCTTGTTGGAAAGGAAATAAAGGGACAGGCACACGACGACCCAGGGGCGCTCAGCACAAGGTGTGCCAAGTAACCATAGGAACCTCTTTATTACAGTCAAATAGGAAACAGCCGCAGGGCAGAGGGCCCCGAGAGAACCAGAGGAAATCCATCATTGTCGCTGTGTGAGGACACTGCTGTGAGACCATGGCCCACGGTGACAACCACAGCAAAGTGTAAAGGAAGCTCGCTGGAATGTTTGGAAAAGCACTGTCAACGGCCTGTCTAACTTACACTTGGTGGTTTAAGTGTTTATTTTCTTGGGTTCTGAGGGGAAGGAAGGGCTGGGGAATTCTTAAATCATTCAAAAGGACATAATATGCTCAAAGGAAATATCAAAACGCTTAAGAAAATAATGCAATGGTGCTGGAACTCAGAGGGTCGTGGAGTGGGCGGCAGGAGGCACGGTCTGGCTCCAAGAAAATGATCTTCAGGAAAGGGTTCAACAGCAACGTTTGGGTCTGGCACAGCAAATAAAGGGAAGGTCTGAACCAGAGTGTGCAAGATGCCTGCTGGAAAGTGCCAGCGAGTAAACGTGCCTGGCCTGTGGGTCATATGGCCTCTCACAACTGCTCACTGTGGGAGACGCCATGGGCCACGATGGAAATGCATGGGCACGGCTGTGTCAAACCACGTTGTTTTTGAAAGGCAGAGTTATAGAGAGGCAGAGGCAGAGAAAGAGAGGTCTTCCATCTACTGGTTCACCCCCTAAATGGCTACAATAGTCAGAGCTGTGTTTTTCTGAAGCCAGGAGCTTCTTGCAGGTCTCCCACATGGGTGGCAGGGGCCCAAGCACTTGGGTCATCTTCTACTACTTTCTTAGGTCATAGCAGAGAGCTGGATCGGAAGTGGGGCAGCCAGGACTCAAAACAGGCGCCCATATGGGATGCCAGCATTGCAGGTGGCAGCTTTACCCGCTATGCCACAGCACCACCCCCTCAAACCAGACTTTATTTCCATAAATAAATAAAAAAAGGGGGCCTGGACATTTGAATTTCACAGAAGTCATACATATCACAAATTGTTCTATTTTATTTCTTCTCTTAAAATTATAAAATGATGTTTAGCTTAGACACAACACAGTAACACGCAGCCAGCCATGGTTTGCCAATCCCTGGTTCAAATGCTTTAGGCATGGACCACACATCTACATTATGGAGTGATCTGCAGCCCCCAAGGCTGACCATCAGGTGGATCAGGGGCCAGCGTTCTGGCGCAGTGAGTAAACCACCACCTGCAATGCTGGCATCCCATGCGGGTGCCAGTTTGTGTCCTGGCCGCTCTACTTCCCATCCTGCTCCCTGCTGATGTGCCTGGGAAGACAGCAGAGAATGGCCCAAGTGACTGAACCACTGCCACCCACATGGGCGACCCAGATGAAGCTCCTGGCTCTGGCCTGGCCCTGCCCTAGCCATTGCGGCCATTTGGGGAGTGAACCAGCAGATGAAAAATTTCTGTCTTTCCTTCTCTCTATGTAACTCTGCCTTTCAAATAAATAAATAAATCTTTTTTAAAAATTGCAAATGTGTTGCTGAATGGGAAAAGCAGAGCAATCAAGAGTAGGGACACTAAGATTAGAGCCAGAACAATGTAAGGAGTACACGGGCCGGGGAGAACCGCTGAAGAGGAACACAGCGTGACAGAGATGATTCCTGAGCTGGGCGGTCATCCAGGGGCAATTTATTTTCAGTATAAAGATTGCATTAACACGGTTTTGTTTTTCAGGATACATATAGAGAAGTCAGGTTAAGAAGAAAGGGCAGAGATTTGGAATTTACTTGGCAAGGGGTGACTCATCCCTCTCTTCCCCCTCACCCTGCTTTGTTTAGCTCCACCACCCTCATCATCCTCTATCACCACACACTGGGTATTTTTCTTGCTTGTTGACCATCGACCCACAAGGACCATAGCTCCAAGAGAGCGTCACTGTGTTTTGCTCACTGCTCCATCACAGGCCCTAGGATCGTACTCGGCACAGATACCTGCTGAGTGAGGGCACCCATGCATTCTGTGTTCCAGGCCCATGACTGGGTAACACGTGATGCCAGTGAGTGGGCGTCCCCAGATGGCCTTCCAGGAGAAGGGCAGTACTGCACAGAGACACCGAGGCCTCCAGATATCACCCACAGTCTGCTACTTCCTTCCTCAGAGTGCTCCTGAATCTCCCAACCAACCTCAGGCATGGCACTGGGCACCCTGCAGCAGGATGGTTTACCTGGGTGTCCTCCCGGGGCAGGGGCCCATTGCAGGGGGAGCATGACAACCTCAACTTTACACCCCACCACCTGAGTACCTGCATATCACAGGCACTCAGTAAATGCCCAGCAAGGAAACACATCTTATCTACTTTTTTTCCCCCAAGAAAGTTCCCCTTGTCCTTGTAGGAACCTGCCTGTGGACTGAAGGAGGGGTCTCTGCCGCTCCCTGGACAGAGTGCCCAGAGCCCCAGAGGCCAGCTTGCCTCTCTCTGAACCCTTCAGAGTTTGTGGCCAGTGGAGAAAGGGGAAGGGCCCACCTGTTTCTTCTTTCAGGTCCTGAAAAAACTTCTGGTTGAAGATGAAAGCCACGCCACTGATCTCCTCCACCTTGGCCTCCGCCGTGCTGTTTCTGTTGATGAAGTTGGCGGTGATCGCGATGGCCAGCTTCCCACGGAATTCTTTCCTTCTGAATCCTACACAAGGAGAGAGGGAAAAGTAGGTCTAGCTTCTGGGTTGGTGTGAAAACGGACCCACCCCCCCCCAAATAAACCCACTGAGATGCCCATGTTCAGATGCCCCAGGCACTCAAAACCAGGGTTCTGGGTAGCCAAGGAACAGGAGCAGGGGAAAGGCTGGGGTTTGAGTCAATAGGACTTTGTCCTTTTCTCAAGGCTGTAGGACCAACGCTCCCTTTAGGCTTTTGAGAAATGAAAGGCTAACATCAACTATAGCAGGCAATCATAAAGCTTGTCTTTTTAAAGATGAACTTGGCACTGTACCAGACACACTTTTGAGAGGCCCATGTGCACTTGGAATGTATGTGATGAAAAGTGCTTAACTAACATGTTCTGCGCTTTTTTTACCATTTAAAAGTAAGATTACTGAAGTCCTGCAGGACAGGGATTTAAACAACTCTTCTTTGCTTCTCCCGTTGATGTCGGATGCACTGTATCTCCACCTGCTCTACCCACTCCCTCCAAATCCATATGCTGAAGTGCTAAGCCCCAGCACTTGTGAATTCATATGGAAATAGGGTCGTTGCTGATGCAATGAGTGAAGAGGAGGTTATACTGGGGTAGGGTGAGCCCCAATCTACAATGAGTGATGTTCCTACACAAAGGGAGGATTTGAACACAAGACTGGCTTGCAGGGAGCCTGCATGTGAATGAGAGGCACAGATGTGCAAGCTCCTTCCTGCTTCTTGCTGGGAGCAGAGCTAAAAATACAAGACCCAGGAGCAAGGTCTGTGCTGGAGAGGGGCAGCCCTATGAGCCCAGGACACCAAGGATGGGCAGCAGAGCAGCATAGAACACTCTTCCCATCGCCCTCAGAGGGAAGTGACCTCGGGGACACCTTGGTCTTGGATTCCCAGCTTCCAGAAGATACACACAGTACAATTCTCTTGTTCAAGCGGCCCAGTTGTGGTGCTTTGTCAGGATGGCTGTATCAGGAAACTAACACACCAATCCCAGTGACTGATGCTTCGGACACACCCAGTCGATGTGTGATGAGCTGAGAGAATTCCAAATGCAATGCATTCTAATGCCTCAGCCTTCCTTTTAAGACGGACACATCATAACTTTACATATTTAGGTATACAATGCAGTTCTTCAATACAGGTCTACACTGAGCAAGGATCCTAAGAGGGTAGTTATATATCCCTCCCCTTAGACTTTGGAATCCCTCTCCTGGCTATTTTGAAAGACACATTGCCTTACTGTCAGGTGAACAAGGCTGTGTAACAGAACGCAAGAATTTATGCTCAGGCTTCTAACACAAAGTGTTTTTAGAATGTGATGACACAGAGGATGGCAGCAGTGGTCTCGTTTCAGGGGAGTGCCTTCTCCTTCGCTCCCCCGCTGCCTTTTTTTCCCATCTGATTTTTCCAGCAGCCCCACAGTCTCCACCTGCCCTAGACACGCTCTTTACTTTGCTTACCTCCAGGCACTCCCAACTCTGGTGAGATGGTGGCCCCAAGTTCATGTACCAGGAATTTAAACGTTCAGAATATTTGGAGGTGGGGCCTTTGGGAGGTGACGGGCCCATGAGGACCCTGTCCTCAAAGATGGATGGATTCACCCGGGAATTAACGGATCAGTGGGTTGGTTTGGGAGTGACTGTTGTAAAAGCAAGTTCGCTCTGGCACGCTTATTCCATCTCGCCATGTGATGCCATCCAGCATGTTGTAATGTAGAAAGAGGGCCCTCACCAGAGCCGGCACAGTGCTGTTGCACCTCTCTGACTGCAGAACCATGAGCTCTCTCTCTCTGGATAAACAACCCCACCTCGGGCCCTAGGCATGGACACAGGCTTGGTGGACACAGCCTTCTACAGCCACCTTCCAGAACTCCCTGCACACTGCTCAACACATACTCCAACTTCATGCCCATTGCCAGTCATCTCTGTCAAAGTCCCCTTGACTGGAAGCTTGGGTCTCTATCCAGTAGCCTTCCTTCCAGCTGTTCCTTTGTCAAAGTGTCCCCAGTGGCCACCACTCTCCTGTGTGGTATTTGTCAGTGGGGGGGGGGGTAACTGTGTCCCTCGGGGGCACTGGGCAATGTACGGAGGCCTTTCTGGTTCTCACAACTGGGAGATGCTGCCTGTATCTAGTGGGTAGAGGCCAGGGACACTGCTGAACATCCTATCCCACATAAGACAGTACCCACCACAACAAACAACACAGCCCCAGAGGGCAACAGTGCCAATACTGAGAAACTCTGACCTGGTCCACCTGGCTGCTCCTAAGTGCTCAGGTGGCCCCATCCTTCCCACCCTTTTCATATTCACAGGATGCCAAACTTTACTCAAGCTGAGCACAGATTTTGGATTTTGAAATATTCAGCATTTTACCAAACACCTAAATGACTCCATAAACCCCTGAGACTGCAACCTCTAGGTTGGCAGCTTAAGAATTCCTCGTCTGATCCTGGGTATTGGTGGTGGGGAGGTGGGTTCAGAAGTAGGGACAGAGGGGATGGCAAACAGCAGTGGGGGCACAGCAGGTGGAAGGACCTTGGGCAAGAGGCCCCCACATGGGGAGCTTGCTAAGGTCAGCTCTAGTTCAAGGAGAATGTCCTGTCCTCAGAGAACGTGCCCTTGCAGGCAGGCAGCCATCTGTAGCCCGTGGTCCTTCAAGGGGGCATGCGGGAAGAGAAGAAGGATCCCCAGTCTATAGGATCCCCAGTCTATGAGATGCCATCTGGGCCTAATTACAACATGACCTCAACTGACTGCAGTTACTATAAATTAGTACAAAACCCGTGGACTAATTCATCTTAGGGCTGCGGTAAAGGTGATCAAAGCATTTCCTAGCAATGGGGTTTCTCCCCCTCTTTTTAAAAAAGATTTATTTATTTATTTATTTATTTGAAAGGCAGAGTTTTGTTTTGTTTTGTTTTTGCAGGGGAGAAGGAGAAAGAAAGAGAGAGAGAGAGAGAGAGATCTTCCATCTGCTGGTTCACTCCCCAAATAGCCGCAATGGCCAGAGCTGGGCCAATCTGTAGCCAGGAGCTACTTCTAGGTCTCCCACGTGGGTGCGGGGGCCCAAGCACTTGGGCCATCTTCTGCTGCTTTCCCAGGTCATAGCTGAGAGCTAGATCAGAAGTGGAGCAGCCAGGACTCGAACCAGTGCCCATATGGGAGGCCAGCACTGCAGGCAGTGGCTTTACCTGCTATGCCACAGTGCCAGAATGTGGCTGCTCTCTCAGTCTGACTAGATCATATCCTAAGGAAGCACACTATGCTTCTGGCTTTGGAACTCAGAGAAGCGTGGCTTTGCACCCTGATGCTTTAGGCAAACTCTCTAACTGCCCAGCAGTGGGTGTGTTTAAAAGTTATGCAAAGAGATGAGCTCCTCTTTCTTGAGTATTATACCTGAAAATAAATGCATTCCATTAACAGTATAAAATGCTTACCTTAGATGGAGTGGGGGTCAAAGTTCTGAGCATCACAGGGCTCGGTAATTGTATGTTGACTTTTCCCCCATGGCAACTGATCTGTTTAAAGCATTGTTTTCCCAAAACACTAGTCCTTCCCCAGCCCTCATCACAAAGCTCCGGAGAGTTGTGCTAGATTCTGTAGTTGGGAAAACTGACATCCGCAGAGATGAAATAGCTGTCCCCTGTACTCAGCCTCCAGGCAGGCAGGACAGACTGTGCCTCTGTCAAGACCCTACCCCGGGGCCAGCACTACGGCAGAGTAGGTTAATCCTCTGCCTGTGGTGCCGGCATCCCATATGGGTGCTGCTCCTCTTCTGATCCAGCTTCTGCTATGGCCTGGGAAAGCAGTAGAAGCTGGCCCAAGAGCTTGGGCCCCTGCATCCGCGCGGGAGACCTGGAAGAAGCTCCTGGCTCCTGATTGACTCAGCTCTGGCCATTACGGCCATTTGGGGAGTGAACCAGTGAACCAGCGGATGTCTTTCACTCTCACTGCCTATATAAATCTACCTCTGAAATAAATAAATAAATCTTAAAAAAAAAAAAAAAAGACCCGCCCTCTAGCTTTGACACCTGCCATCCTGCTCACCCTTCTCCAGCCCCTCCTCCCTCCCCCTGCCACTGCCTTCTTCCATCCCCAGCCCGAAGAAGAGGAAGAGCGCTCACCTTCCAGGGTGTTCCTTCGGCCATCTGCGCCGATGATGACATTAAACTCGAAGTTTGACAGGGCGTGGTCGGCGGGGAGGAATTCTGCCCGCCAGCCGATTTCTACAGGACAGAAAAACAGGACGAGTTGGCAGAGAGTTGTGGGGACAGGGAGCAACGCTATCCCCGCTATGTCACTATGTCAGGTGAGAAGTCAACAAGGCAACCAGGTCTGTGCCCCAAGGTGCACCCTCCCAAGAGCCTGGAGAGTCCAGATTCTCACAGTAATCTGGCCACCCTCTGGCTTCATATCGCTTCCGTCCAGGACAGAGGAAACAGTGACATTAGCACCAGGCACCAGGTTGCTGGGAGTCTGGCTTCAGCGATTCTCAAACTAGTATCCCTCATAGCTCATTTTCTCGGCAGATTCGCTTACGTTCTCTCCACGGTCTCCGTACGTCCCAGGGCCTTCCCACTGCTAAACAGACCCAAAGGATGTGCAGAGCGTCAGAGCCTGTTTGGGGGACTGCTTTGCGCTCGACTGCTCTGTAGAGCAGCACACGGCCCTCGTGAAATGGGTGCAGGGCAAGCAAGTGAAGCCCAGTTGGCTCCAGCAGTCAGGATTTAATATGCACCAGGGGTCTGGGAAAGGCTCAGCGCCCACGTGACACCACACAGTGAGAGCTGTCCTGCTACAAAAGTTGCCTACAGCCTCCCCTAAGCCTTAGATGTTCTGGGCACAGGACACCAGAAATCCGAGGGGCACCCTCAGCAGGGAACTGCAAAGTCTCCGACACTGAGCTGGCTCAACACACACAGCCCTTCCCAGGCAGGAGACCTTGACCATGAATAAGATGCAAAGGCTTCATGAGAAAACTCTCTGTAAAAGATGAGAATTTAAACACACACTGGGAAGAAAGAGAAGCATGGTAAGACATAACTATATGTGTGAATGCTAAGGTTAAAAATATTATATACCGAATTATATATTGAATCTTTATTTCAGAGTTGCTTTTGAAACCTCATTCTCTCTCTCTCTCTCTCTCTCTCTTTCTTTCTTTCTAATCTGAGAGAGAGGGAGGGAGAAAAAAATTCTCCTACCTGCTGATTCACTCCCCAAATGCCAGCAACAGCCCAGGGTCAGGAGCAGAAGCCAGGAGGCAGGAATGCAATCCCAGTCTCCCACGTCAGGGGCAGGGACCCACTACTTGAGCCATCACCTGCCTTCTCCCAGGGTCCACATTCGCCAGAAGCCAGAACTGGGAGCAGATCTGGGTCTCTACCCAGGATCTCTGATATGGGATGCAGGTATCCCAACTGACAGCTTAACCACTAAACCAAATGCTGGCCCATAAAAGTCTTACTAGCTTCACTGGATTTTAAAATATCTTAGGGGTACAACAGGTGCATCCACATGTCTGTGGGTGAGCCCACACAGCATGAACTGAGCATGTGAATGAACTTTATCAAACAGTCGCATCTTCACCTTCTAGCCTACTTACTGGCTAGATTCCATCTGTCAAAGGAGCATCTCCTAGGGACGGGATGACCAAATTACAAAAGTTGGATGGCTTAGATCCTTGGGGAAGAGCTCATCTAAAACGGTAGCAGGGGTCAAAAAACGCCAAGCATCTTCAGTGATAGTACGCTCAGCAGCTCCTAACAGACCAACACCTAAAGACGCACTCGCTGAGAGCTCCGAACATCATGTCTGCTTTGCAACACCCGACTCGCAGAGAGAAGGGAAAAGTGTACTGTACTTTGGTTTTCCTGATCTTCAGGAGGCTCCAGAACCTTCACAAACTCCACGTTCACGTGGATTTCCACGCCCAACATCAACGCCACCTTAAACAGGATGAGCTGCAGCTGACGAATACCTGTTGGGCAGAAAGGAGAGAAGCAGTGGACCGTGAGGAGTCATGCCTGCGTGCCTCCTGTACACAGCGCCCTGTGACCTCTGAGTGTAGAAACAGATCGACGACAACCATCACCAGTGATGCGCCACGCCCGGAGCGCAGTCTCATTTAACACCAACCACTGGGATTATCACTCTTCATTTTCATTACACAATTGAGAAACAGAGGCTTAACAAGGCTCAGTGACTTGCAGCCATTCATTCTGTCCAACTCCAAAACCCTGCCTGGCTGTCAGAGGACGGTCTCACGTGGGAGGCTCTGCCTTTTCTGCCTCCTTCCTAGGCTTGGGTCTGGGTGTGATGTGGTAAAGCTGGAAGAGCACCTCAGTGCCTGGCCAGTAGCAAAGCCACTGCTCAGTATACAGGGTTGTGCTCAAGTTCATGGCCATTGCATGGTGAGGGGTGGAGTGAGAAATCTTCCCTACACCACTGGGCTTGTGGTTCTCCCCATCCTCCTCCTCACTCTTTCAGACTCCCCAATGAACAGAGCCTCAGTTTCTTCTCATGCCCCTGGCTGCTCAGCCTAAGCAGGTGCACCTCCTAATACCATTTTGCAGATGCAGCAGCTGAATCCCCAGTCAGCACACGAAACACAATGTGCCCGTGCCCTGCAGGCCGTGGATGTGGAAACCTGCTCAAATGGAGGAATCTCGGGACACAGGGGTCCTGGAAGCTGAGAGAGGGGGCAGCAGGAACATCTCACCCCATGGAAAGGTCCAGGATTCTGGTGGCCACACAAGGCCAGGGCACCTGGGAGATCTTGGTGACAGTCTCTTGGTACAGCGATAAGGGAGAAACCTGACTGCACAGGCAGGAGGTGCAGACTGTCTACAGCTCCCCTTTCTAGAGGGAATATCCGAGGTAAGGAAAGGTAAGGAGGCACCCGCAGAGGGCTGGAGGGCTGCCGTGAGGGGAGGAGCAGGCTGTGACAGGGACAAATGGGCAGGAAACCCAGGGGGACCGGTGTGGGGAAGGAGGGGGCCAGCTGTGCTGATAAGGGGAGCGGGGTGTGAGGGAGGAAGGAGCTGGAACGGGAGCATGGCCAACGCCTCCAGCCCAAGAACACAGGAGGCGGCCGTCTGTGACAGCGAGGTGGCCACGGTGGTCTGGAAGGGCCGCGGCGGGGACCAGAGGAGGCTGCCGCCCTGGAGAACGGCTGAGAAGTGCTGAGCCCACAGACCACGGCCGGCCTGGAAGGAAGCCAACCAGCTGGGACTGAAAGAACCACGGCCGCCTCCTGCCAGGAAACTGAACTTCCAGGGGAGGCTGGCCTCTCTCCAGTTCCAAGGTTCCTGGTGTCTCTGGGCCCAGCACACAGTAGGTGCGCAGTATGTTCTCCCTGCTTCCCCTCTCCCGGGCACTGTCGCTACCCTGGATGGTGCTCTCTCAGTTCCAGAGCCCTGTCAGGACTGGGGCTTAAACCAGAGCTCCATCAGTGGGGACAGGAGGGGCTCCCACAACAGGGAGGCCATCCCGACAGCCCCAGGGACCCCCAGGGACCCCCAGGTGCCCGGCACTACTCTGGAGGAAAGCTGCCGAGACAGTGGAGCTCAGCATCTTTACTGCCCATTGCTAACCGACACGCATTCTTCCCTGGCTGGGAGAGAACACCCGGAAAGCTGACGCTGCAGCTCTCGGGGCAAGTCCACGTTCCTTTCCGTTGTCCTCCTGGAATTTTCTCATCCCAAAGTGGGAATAAACTCCAGGGCCACTGCTGGTAAAGTCTCTTGCGTCTGAACAAATTACACCCTGTGTGGCTGGTCATTCTCTCCAGTCATCCCGCCCAGACCCCACTCTCTTTTTACTATTAATTCCTGTCCCCTTAAGAACATGGCTCTCAGGGCCATCCCCGACCCACCCCTGCAGAAAGACACTGGGCGAAAGGACGCAGCCCTGGATTCTGAAGGCTGGGGGACCATGACAGCTTCGGGCTCACTGTACACCAGTGGATGCATTTTCCTGAGCACCTATTATGTGCCAGCCGTGTTAGATCCTTGGCCCCATTTCATCTTCTCAGCAACTCTGAGACAGGCATTCCGTGCATTCCATAGCAGCTAGAACCAAGCCTTGAGCGCGGTTGGGGGGGTAGTGTTTGGGCCAAAGCCCACAGAACTGCAAGACAACTGCAAGACACCAAGTAGCCCTTCACTAAGTGTCTGTTAGATGGACGTGTGGTGCCCCCAGGCTCCTACAAGATTCAGTGGTCTGGGCCCCCTAGTTGTGGAACAGTGTACCCCACCAAGGTCAACACCCTCTTCACGGGGCCCCACTCACTGATGTGGTCGATGGAGCCGGCACAGAACTTCCCGTAGAACTTCTTGGCTCCCAGGCCTCGCAGGTCGTGGATGGTGAACGGCCAGAGGTGCAGCACGTTGTTCCGGGAGAAGGTGTCCCTCTTTTCCACCACAACCACTTTGGCTCCCAGGAAGGCAAGTTCAATGGCAGTGCGCAAGCCACATGGTCCTCCCCCAATGATGAGACACTGCAGGGGTGAGACAGAAGGGAGACGCTCAGGAACCTCCAGCAGCTGGACGTGAACCCTCAGTCAACCGTGTGAGTGAGGAACAAACCCCAGGGCACCCAGATCAACGGGCAAGTGCAACCTGCGTCCCTGGCAGGGCCTGTCATTCACCTGTCTGACACCATTACCTGTGGTTCTGCTACACCCCAGTCGCTGTGCTGTGTCCTGGGAGGGACACAGAGGTAAAGGGACTTGGGGAGAAGGACGAGTAAGACGCACGTGAGGTTCAGAGTCAGACTGAACTGCGTTTGAATCTTGGCTGGCACTGGGCTTTACTGTCCTCTGTGAAATGGGTGTCCTACTCTTTCTTTATAGGCTCACTATAAATAGGATCAGTTTCAAAAAGCGTAGCGTGCATCCCTGGATTAGCCTTGGATTAGCCAATCATTTCTTAGCCACAACACCGAAAGCACAAGCAACAAAAGGAAAAGTTGGTAAATTAGACTTCATCAAAATTAATAAATTTGGTGTTTCAATGGCCATGATCGAGAAAGTGAAAAACCTCTGCAGGGAAGAGAGAATGTTTGCAAACTAACTAACCAATAGAGGATTTGTACCCAAAGCACTTGAGGATTTTTCACAATTCAACCATGAAAACACATGTAGTCCAATTAAAGAACAGGCAGAAGGTTTGAATGGATGTTTGTTCGAGAAGATACACACGGAGCCAGTGCTGTGGTGCAGTGGCTAAACCAGAGAAGATCCACAATGATCAATAAGCACCTGAAAAGATCCTCAACATCATTAGCCACTGGGAAAATGCAAATCAAACTACAGCGAGCTATTACACTATATCTACTGGGGTGATTATAACAACAAAAGACAGAGAATACCAAATGTTGGTGACAGATGGAGACATTGGAACCTCATACGTCGCCGATGGGAATGTAAAATGGCACAAATGCTTTGAAACAGTTTGGCCATTTCTCAGAGTTAAGAACTGAGTTGCTGGCCGGCGCCTCAGCTCACTAGGCTAATCCTCCACCTAGCGGCGCCGGCACACCGGGTTCTAGTCCCAGTCAGGGTGCCGGATTCTGTCCCGGTTGCCCCTCTTCCAGGCCAGCCCTCTGCTGTGGCCAGGGAGTGCAGTGGAGGATGGCCCAAGTGCTTGGGCCCTGCACCCCATGGGAGACCAGGATAAGTACCTGGCTCCTGCCTTCGGATCAGCGCAGCGCGCCGGCTGTGGCGGCCATTGGAGGGTGAACCAATGGCAAAAGGAAGATCTTTCTCTCTGTCTCTCTCTCTCACTGTCCACTCTGCCTGTCAAAAAAAAAAAAAAAAGAAAAGAAAAGAAAAGAAAAAGAAAAAAAGAACTGAGTTGCCACACGAGCCACTAATCCCACTCTTAGGTGTATACACCCAAGCAAAATGGATCTGTGCACAAATGCTCATGGCAGCATCATGCTTCGCTGACTCGACAAAAATGCAAACAGCCCAATGTCTTTTAACTGATGGTGAATAAACAAAATGTGGAGTATTATTTAGCTATAAAAAGGAATGAAGATCCAAAACATGGATGAACCTTAAAAGAACCCAGATGTGAAAGGATCTGTGTGATTTCTCTGATATGAAATGTCCAAACAGGCCCATGTGTAGAGACAGAAAGTATACTGGTGGTTTCCAGGGAATGGGGTGGGCAGGACTGTGGAGTGACTGCTAATGGAGTTTCTCTTTGAGAATGTTCCAGAATTTGATGGTGGCAATGGCTGCACACCTTTGTGAACTGTATATTTTAAAAGGTGAATGTCACGGTGCATGAATCATGTCTTCATAAAAACACATCTGAGAAAAAAGCAGACAGTGGTGCAGGGCGTGGCATATGCAAATTTCACCGCTGTGACCTGGTGCTGGTCCTCCAGACTTTGGAATAAACATCTAGAACCCTGCGTGATTAGTTTTATTTGTAGCTCAGCAGGGAAACAGCTAATCCTGCCTAGTGGGCTGAAAGGACTTCACCAGGGACAGTCTTTAAAAACGCTGATTATTGCTATCATTGCAGCTTGCATTCATCGAATACTTAGGATGTGTTAGACACTTTTTCAAGTATTTTATGTGTTTGGCTCTTAATCTTCACATCAAGTCCTTAGGTGCTAAGCAAAGTAACAGAAACCATGGTTTCACAGGGCCAAGAGGCAAACTTAGGTGGTCTCATTCCAAAGCCCACCATGCTGATGCCTCTGGTTCGTGCAGAATGAAAAGACAAAAAGTGCATTTCAGCAGCGGGGAGGGCCCTGCCGAAGGGAGAGAGGAAGCAGCATGAGTGGGTGGAGGGAAGGCTGTTGTAATTGAAGTGAGGAGAGGAGAGGAGAGGAGAGGAGAGGAGAGGAGAGGAGAGGAGAGGAGAGGAGAGGAGAGGAGAGGAGAGGAGAGGAGAGGAGAGGGGAGAGGAGAGGAGAGGAGAGGAGAGACAGGAGAGAGCATCTGGAGCCAGAGCTGAAGAGCCTAACGCCACGTGAAGAAGCGCGGCCCGGCTCCTGCGGGCGTGGGGGCCCCGTGGGCAGAGGTGGCAGAACAGGCTCGGTCCGAGGCCCGCAGCAGGTCCTCGGAGGCTCCTTCCCAGAGGAGACGCAGCCTGTTTGCAGGGGAAGGAGCGTCGTGCTGGGCCCCCGCCCTCCCTCTCCAGCAACATTTCCTTTGGAGCAACCATCCTAACACCAAAGAAAACGGCAATGCTGCGACTGAATGAATGGGAAGACACTCCTTCCTGGGGCCAGGAGGTCCACACAGCTGACGCTGCCCCAGCCAGGCAACCGGCACGGGGTCTGCACCCGCTCCTCCTCGCTGCTCGGCAGGGCAGGCGTCCGGAGACTTCGGCTCAGGATCAAACCTTATCTTAAAGAAATACAGTCCCCTTCCCCGAGCAAATATTCCATCACCCAGTTATCAGTCAGTGGGGCCCCAAGGGGAGCGTGCAAACAAATGTATCAGGAGCGCCCACACCACAATCAGTGTGCTTTACTGGTTGGAACCTTCCAGAGAGTTTGTGGACACCCAATTAGGGGAAATGAAGTCAGCGCTGAGATACAGTTCACCCCAGAGCCCGGCGGGGAGTGTGTGGGTGTGCGAGCCGCTGGCCAACCGTCCAGATGGAGCCAGCAGGCCCAGCTCCGCTCCTTATCGCGCACCCGGAGCTGCTGCCACACACACACATAGCCAGACAGTGACGGCCCACCCCAGCGCCACTCCAAGCCCAGCGCGAGTGAGCCAGGCTTGGGGGCAGAGTCTACACTCACTGCATTTCTTTGCCATTAGTGCATCTTTTCCTGTTTGCTGAGTTCTGTCATTCCGGGGCTAGGGGTTGCTGGGGGCGGGAGGACGTAGGGTGAGGGCGGGCAGGAAGAGCCCCCCACAGCCCCTGTCCTCCAGGTCTGTCCCAGTGCCGCTCCCCAGGCACAGCAGATCCCGCTCCCACGGGGCAAGGGGCTGCCGTGCATCTGGCGTGGAAACAGTAGCCAGGGTGGGGTTCCTGCCCTCCTGGCTAAACCTGCAATCTATCAGCAAAAGCTCCGCTTTCCCACCCTCCTAGGCCCCGGCACAGCTGCAGGGCCTGAAACCTCAGAGAGACCAGTCACGGCCAACACCAACGGGCTCGATTCTATCCAGAGAGAAAATTCGGCACAGATGTTATCAAGGCCGTTGGCAGGCGCCAGGGCCGGCTCCCCTCTGAACTTGCCTGTTAGGCTTAGCGTGGGAACTCAGCATCCTGACCCGGGGCTGGACACCATGTAGCCACACGCCTGGGCAGAGGGGCTAGAGAGAAGAGCACCTCCCCTCCCTGGGTGGACCCTGTTGACGCCCTGGGCGCTGGGCATGTCCGCCCAGGCCACAGATGCAAAGGGATGAGACCAGGTGGCCTAGAGGGACTCTGCTTCCCCAAGCCCATCTGCTGTCTACTGCTGCCCAGGACCCTATCCTAGAAAGAAGTGTTTTCCTTAAAACTCAGCCCGACACCCACCTCAAGCCCCCAGATCAGATCGTACACGGGCATTCCAAAACGTTCATGGAAGGAGGGCAAAGACATGTTCACTTAGGTGCAAAGCGATTTGAAACCCACACAGGGTTTTTTTCATAACCAGCATTTCCCATGAACTTTTTGAGGACCCCTCATGTATAAATTTCAATTTTTTTGCATGAGAATAAAATTATCTTGTAATCTTATTTTTTTGTGGGCTTTTTGAAATACCTGCGTCCCTCCCCGCCAAGCCCCAGCAGGCCTTCCTGCTGCCCAGAACTAAGTTCTGGGGGCCTGACCCACAGTCCATCCATGTGCCCATCCGCCAAAGCTGCTCCATGTCCTCTGCACTCTGCGGGCACAGAGCCCAGGGCAGGACCTGGCATACACTGGGCCTTGATTGGCTGCTGATGGGGAAATGACCATCACACACCCTCCCCACGCACGGGCTCCGGCTCTCTGTCCTCCACTGGGGAGTTCGGCGCACATCAACTGGGGTCAGGGTCTGCAGGTTCCCACCCAGACTGGGGCCCTGGGGTCTGCCAAGGCCACCGACCATCACCGATGTCAGCGTAACTGTGTTCAGGCAACAGAAATTATTACCCAGCGGGGACTGGGGCAGGGCCAGCAGGAAATCCATTGTACAGATAAGCTCAGCTGTGTTTAGGCCTCCACGTTAGCGGAAAGGACAAACGTGACCCTGGAAAAGCAGCTCTGTATTCAGGGTGCATGGTGGGGGTGATGGCCGGCTTGCCCACAGTCAGGGCACAGGGGCGAGGGTGGCCCAGCTCACACAGGGCTCTCGCTCTACCACACGCCAGCAAGCACAACTCACTTCCTGGTGATACAGAGAATCCTCCAGCCTCAAACACAGGGTATGCTGGGCCCGGGCCAAGAACGTGTGAGGGAATCAGTCCCAGAGGAGACATTGAGGGGACCAGGGACAGGCCAGGGGCTGGCAGTCTGCAGGCTTGGTGTCTGCTGCCGGATCCTGCCTCTGCTCCCCTTG